TGAGGTAATAGGACGAAGGACGCAGGACGCAGGACACAGGATACATGCGTGCCCAAAGTGATTTTTTCCAAATGCAATTTTTTTTATTGTTAGCCAAGAAGCGGAAGCTATAAAAAATGAGAGGCACAAACTGCAGCGAGAGGATAGTGGGGGTTAAGGACTCGCAGATGTCCAGCGATTTGTATTAGTGACGCCTGATAGAATTCCCATAAATATCATTCGAAAAGGATACAATTTTTCTTCAACAATTATATTTCTCTCTTTGAAAATTTATTTATTATATTGTATAATTTTATTTAAATCCTCTAAATTGTAGATAATCTACTAGCAGTATAAATATAAATATATATTGTATCACAGTATCTGGAAGATTTCTTTCCTTCCATTCATGATTTTTGCATTCGCGTTCACCGTCAATGAATCCTGATAATCGTGGAAAGCAAACCCCTCTCCCCCGTTGGATCCATTCATCCGATTCGATTCCGATTTCCATTCGCTTGGCCAAATCAAATCAACTCAGACCAGGGGGCATCTGCTGGGAGTGAGTGAGTGCATCCCTTAGTGACGGTTCCAAAGATCAACTACCGCAATCGATCTGGCGAATTAAATTGCCTCAACTTTTGGATGGCATCATCGAAGGAGGAGGAGGTACCTACATACATACCTACATAGCATAGCATATATTTCGGGACTCAAACTCGACGTTTCCAGATCATCGCTTTCAATTTGTATCAAATATCTTCAAAGGACTTCGACTTTGACGGGGCCTCGATGCTGAGAGAGATGCCTCGTCTTTTCCTCCTGTTTTTCCCTTTTGTTTGGCAAGCGAACCAAATAAAGGACTCTGGACGAGAGGCACTCACACGTATATTTATTTGATGATTGCCTCTCTCACATCCCAATTTCCTTTATCTTTTTATTTGTTGTATTTTTTGTATTGTATATACATATATTTCTTGTTGTGTATTCTTTTTTTTCCGCCGCGCTTCCTCGGCGGGATTTGTGAGCTCCGCTAAATTGCATTCTGAACGCCCGAGCTGCATTAAGTCAGAAGTCGATCAAGTGTGGACGATGCGCTCCGCAGATGTATCCTGTATCTGCAACTAGTATCTGTAGGTGGCCGCCAGGACAGTGCGTTTCGCAACAATAAGAGCTGTATTTTTATACCCTTTACAGGGTATTCTAAGTTTAGTCAGAGGCTTGAAACGATGTGAAGGAGTCATTTTCGACCATATAAATCATATATATTCTTGATCAGCATCAAAAGCCAAGTCGATTTATCCGTCTCCGGGAGTAAATAAAATTTTTCAAATTTTTTCAAAATTTTATAAGGGGTACATCGTTAAAATGTTGACAAAATTGATCAAAATTTTAATTTTTTTAAAATTTTTAATTAAGTATGCAGAATTGTTGACATTACAAAAACTAGCACAGAGCAGTTTTCCGAAATAAAATTATTGGTCTTTTGGCAAAGTTATGATATTTTTAAATTTTTGATTTGCCTAAAAAAACTGTCATAAAAATATAGATTCAAATAATGCGAATATCTTACGCTTAGTTATGATATATTTTTTATACGATCCTTAAAAATATAATTACAAACGACAAATGTATATAAACTTTGGCTAGTTATTTTCTTGTTCTACTTATATTTCTGATATATTTCTGATTTTAAGAAATCATACCTTGATCTTTAATATTTATTGAAATTTTTTACATATTCCAAGTGTTTTTAATTTTGTGAAACGCATATTATGTGAAGCTTGCGGCTTATACAACCCAGAAAAAAAATACAAATAAAAAAATAGATAGAAATAGAAGTGACAGAAAGTATTCATTGCCATTTGTTTGGTATTTTCCCATCTCCCTTCTCCCGTTTTTGTTGTTGTTGTTGTACCTATTTTTACCCATTTTCGGCATTGTGTATTTTCCCGAAAAAACGTTCGAGTGGAAATCCTTTATTGAGTGCCATATTTATTCCTATTCCTATATTCTCCAACCATCGGCGCCATCTCTTTCGCACTGCAAAATTTGGAAAATACTATTTTTGTTTGTTGCATTTAGCATGCAAAATTTATTTTTAGAGTTGGCCCATTGTTTCGCTTCCAAAGTCCAGCGTCCATGGGTCCATTGTCCTGGCTGGGTACCGAATGTCCTGGCAAATATAGCTCAGCTTCTGTTTCTATTACTACTTGTGTTGTGTGTGCCTTTGTTTCGGACGTCTTTTCAATTGCATTTTGCCACAGCAATTTGCATGCCCCGTATCCGAAAACCTACATACATATAGATATGTTCATACATATATCCTGCACTTGAAATAAAAATTGAGTGTATCCTTAGAGGATTTTTTGAATCATTTCTTATAATTTCTCTTGGGAATTTAAACAACAAAATGGTTTGTTTTGAACTTAATATTCTCCAAGGTGGGATATTTATAGCTATATTTCATTTTGTACAAAATTACATTTAAAACTTGGACTTTTTCGATTTAATTTAGAGTGTATGTTCATATCCTTTGTATATCCATTCGTATTTTGGCCATTGTCCATCCATTTTGGCCATCACATCATCATCATTATCATCGGGGAAACTGCTCTGGGGGAAATGTTTTGGGAAATTTATCTAGATCGATGTCGAAGAATTATGGTTCGCTAATAGAGTGACAGAGGTGAATCCCTTACGGACTAAATATTTAACTGGTATTTAGCCAAAGAAGAGACATTTAACAATTGAAAATAATAATGAACGGGTTATGGGATTTATTTATATCATTTTAGCAATAATTTTCGAATAAATTTTAAGAAGGTGGTTTATTTTTTATATATTTCCTTGGTATTTAGATAATACAACTTTTGTTGCTTATGAATTCAAGAAATGCTTTTATCTATACTATATACTATAATTATTTCTATATTTGTATCTTAATTACATGCAATTATTCTTAGTTTAGATCTAAGACTAGAGAAACTGATATTATGTATTCTTTTTCTTTATAAAAGTGCCTCTATTCATTTTATTTGAAATTTATTTAGGTGTTTGGAAAAGTACTCTATAATATTATAAATATTTTAATTTATTCTCTTCTTAATTGGTATTATTTTAAAGGTAATCTTTTTCTTTACTTTTATAAATATTTTTATTATTATACATAATTATTAATTTATATAATTTAATTATTGTTACGGCAATTATTATAGTTATATTTTAGTACTTTATTTACATGACAACTGAAAATAAGTAACTAACATTGAAAAAATGGCAACAAAACGCCATGGAATATGTACTTACACACCCACACACACACACACACACACACATTTGCACACGCTTATAAAGTGCGCTTATTTGATGGCCGGCAAATCAATCAACTTTATTAATTACAAGTAATTAAAGTTTAATTAACAGCCAGCCAGAGTTGTGCTCCTCTTCTTGCCTTTGTTTCAAGGTTGCACATGTGTGTGCGTTTATGCATATGTGTGTGTATGTGTGCGTGGAAATAAATGCAAATATTTATTTGCCATTTAACTGCCCCAAAAGTCACGGGAAAATGAGGCAATAGGGTGAGGTGGGGGTGGAGGGTAAAGAGCAGCACCAACAAAATGGTGGCAAAAGTAGTGCAATTTTGTGTTGTTGCTGCTGCTGCTGCTGTTGCTTTTGCGATTTTGTTTGTCTGTTTAATTAAAGCAATATGTGGCCTGCAGGAATGTTGGGTTAATTGACTCATCACTTATACGACAAACGAAGCACAAACAAACAAACAAACAAACAACCACACAAACACACAGCACACACACACAACACACACTTCAACAAAATGGGGAATAGCAGAAGAAGAAGAAACACAGGCAGCGGCTGAACAAGAACAAGAAGCTAAAGTTGAAGCAGTGGAAGAAGCACAGCAGCGCAGTAAACGAAAAAGATAGAAGATGAAAAACACACACACACACACAACACACACTTTATCCAAAGGGGGAGCTTGGGGGCGTGGTCAGCATTTTGACATTTTGAAATTACCGCTTGCGCAGGGTTTTTTCTAGCAGCCAATCGTTGACATGGAATCCATTGCGGATTGCAACGCCCACACACAGCGAGCGAACGGTAATAGTGGGAACAGTTCTTTTGGTTTTACTTAGTTTCATCAAGTGGCGCCATATTTTAAAGATTTACCTAAGACGAGCGGAATTTCCGGGAACTTTGAAATTACAATTACAAAAGCGGTTGGCGCACTCTGCAAAAGATTTACCTTAGACTAGCGGAATTTCCGGGAACTTTGAAATTACAGATACAAAAGCGCGTGGCGGCACCTGTTAGGGACTTACCTCAGACTAGCGGAATTGCCGGGAACTTTGAAATTACAATTACAAAAGCGGGTGGCGCCATCTGCAAAAGATTTACCTTAGACTAACGGAATTCCCGGGAACTTTGAAATTTAAATTACAAAATCGGGTGGCGACATCTGTTAGGGACTTAGCTTAGACTAGCGGAATTGCCGGGAACTTTGAAATTACAATTACAAAAGCGAATGGCGCCATCTGTAAAAGATTTACTTTAGACTTACGGAATTTCCGGGAACTTTGAAATTACAATTACAAAAGCGGGTGGCGACATCTGTAAAAGATTTATCTTAGACTAGCGGAATTTCCGGGAACTTTGAAATTACAATTACAAGAGCTGGTGGCGACATTTGTTGAGAAACACAAGCTTCTGGGTTACACCGAAGTAAGCTAGATGGCGTTGGCACTTGATCTAAACAATTGAGAATAAGAAATAGTGTAATCAAATTTTCCCCTCCCCATATTTTATTATCATTTAATTATGATTTTTATTGCGAATCGGAAAATATATGACTTTTCGGATTCACAGGCTTTTCGGCCATTTTATGCCATAAAAGAGAACTGAAGTAATCGCATTCACTGCATCGATACATATCGATATATTTATAAGATATTTCTTGTTGTAACGAAGTTGGCGGCCTCTCTTTCTCTCCCTTCGAAAACAGCTGACATTTGCGCTCGGTGCCTTTTTTGTTTGTCTTTATAAATCTCTATATATTTTTTTTTAATTAGTTGCTAATAATTTTAACAAAATGGAAGAAGATCTGTCTAGTTCGGATATAATAACGCAGCTTAAGAAAGTAAGGTTTCCTTGGAATTCTTCTTGATTAAAGTGTTAATTACCTTCTTCGGCTCACATCAGCGGCATCTTCAGGTGAATCACTTGGAGAGCTTGCCCCACGGACAGCTGGAGAAGATTTATCAGGAATTTGCAGTGCCACAGCCAAGAAGGCAGCCCCGCAATCGCTCCACTGCAGCGGCGACAGGTACCTCTTCCCTGGCCCTGCCCATGGAAGTGGAGCAACTGACGCAGCGCATCAAGACGACAGCCATGCTGGGCCAGAAAAGAACGCTGGCTGTGGTGGAGAAACCCAGCTCCGATTACCACGTCAAGCAAATCAAGATGGACCTTTCGTGACCCCCTTTTCATAGCGATAAGCTCTAGCGGTTGTTGTGATCGCCATGCCACTCCAGTCCAGTCCAGCCAAGCCGCCTGGGATCATTAGAAGGCCTAACATAAACACAGCAAGATGCAGCAGCAGCAGCAGCGGCAGCAGCGCCAGCAGATGCTCCTCCTCATCTGTGCCTGTAGTGCAGCACTGGTTCTTGGGGAGGTTCTGCCCCTTGAGCCCGATTTCGACAACTTACAAGTAAACTTAGGCTTGCCCATATACCACTTTAAGATGTGAATACATAGTGTTTTTACCTCCATCTTTAGGGAATCCTACCGCGTGCTACCAGTCGCAGCGATAAGCTGCAGGTGTTCCAAAGCATCTGGGGCGTCTTGCGATCTGATTTTGTCGATGACACCGACAAGGCCAAAGGGCTGTACACCCAATTGGGTAACTTTATACGCGACGAAATGCCATGCATTAGCGGACCCACCGGTCGCTCTGCCTGCGAGCTGCAGCAGGAGGTGAGGCGGCACCTGAAGATGCTTATGTCCCAGCGGCTGGCGAATCTCTTGAATGCCGAGGAGAATATTCAGTCGTATGGCATGTATATAGCAGCCAGCATAGAGCCGGCCCTGGTGAGGGATATCCTAGTGAATGCCATCGAGGATGTGTATTTCCACAGACCGCTGGATAAGTTAGTGCGGCAGCTGGAGCAGCTCTACGCGGATCGCGACGAGGTGAGCTTCAAGATGATGATTGAGGCAGAGTTGGCCCTGTATTGGCGGTACCAAACCATGCACGATAGCAATGAGCTGTTCTTGTTCAACATGGCCCGAGTGTCCAACAGGATAGTCACACATCACATGTACGCCAGCGTGGATGCGGGTCTGCACAGACGCGTCTCTGCCATGCACGAAAGTTTGCCCCTGTGCTGCGTCTGCTCTTTGATCCGCAGGGTTTCTGTCTGCTGAGTGGCTCCGATCGAGAGTATTTATATACAACCATAACGGATGACTGGAACTATGGGTTAAATGGCAGGCAGATGTTCACCTGGCGTCAGCAGAACTACACGGATTCCGCGGGTCAGATACGTGCCTTTGTCCAGGAGCATAATGATGATGCTGCCAGTGCCACTCCAGTCTTTACACTTCGTGGAGAGCTCTTCAAGTGGTACTTGTACGTGGATCCCGCCGAGGGTAATCGTGTGGGTGCCCTACGCTCTGGCAGTCCCAGTTCATCGACCAGTTTCTGGACTATTGGCTATGTGGATAACGTGCTAATATTTCGCCAACGGGATCTGACCATGTGTGCTGCCGAACAGCACGATGAGGAGCGGCGGCGGGTGAAGATGCTGCCGGGTCAATTGCATACGCCACCATCTCCTGCCTGTCAATGGGAGCCTGTACATTGTGCGAAATGAATAATAATAATTTCGTTATATTTCTATACATATATTTCTTCAGTGTTGTTTTTTGTACATGAACATTTACATATGAATGGAAAGAAAAGACATCAGAATGGAGTTACAAGTCGTCAAAGAACATGAACAGAAAGAAACATGAAATATTTAAACAAAAGAAATAAGAGAATAGAGCAAAGGATGAGGTAAACCTACAAAAAGGACATAAAAAAGGTGCACAGGCCTTAACTGACTATGACTTTTGGTAATTTCCTTCACCAGACCAACAGGAACTTTCTTCTGTGCCTACTTATATTCACTTCTTCTATAGCTAATCCATATGCTCATCATCATCATCCTCGCTCTCCTCTTTCTCTGCCTGACTACGATTGAAACTCTGCGATTGGAATCTCGGCGGAGGTACAGTCACCCGATGGCTTTGATTCGAGCTCGATCGATTAAAGCTGGACCAACGTCTGTATGCCGCTGGACGATAGTGCATGCTGCACTGTAAGAACTCCTCGGGATCCTCCTGTGTCGCCTCCAGGGACTCCTCAATAGCTCGTGAATAATCATCGATCTCCTCCTCTTTCAAATGTGGTGCCCCATTGGCAAATTCAGCAAAACGTATGGGATTGTGCAGCTTAGTGATGAGATCCCATTGCTTGCAACCGGGACTATTGAGATACTGTTGCAGTTCGGACAATGAATTAGCAGTTTCCTTGGCTGTCTGCTGATAGTACTCTTCCTGGGTAAGCAGACGCCGCTTGGGTGGAAAGCGACGGAGATACGAGCGCTTCAAATATATAATCACCGATGGTGGAAAGTAATAGACCACAAAGGCCACCGCAATCAGAAAAACGGCCGCGTTCGTATGCCAGCTGCTGAAGTACACCAGGGCACCGCCCGTGGCCTGCAGCACCCACATGATGATGTTCTGCGAGCGTGGATTCTTTGGAGGTCCAATGCGATAGCAAATCTGTAAAAGAATTCCAAGATTAGATCAAGTTAATGCTCAAAAAGGTGATGATGATTGTACGCACCAGAAACGATATCAATCCAGTGACAATCAGATACCACACCACATATTCGCGATAGGTGAGCAGAATGAGGCGCATGTTGTCCACCACTTGCTTTAGGACATAGAAGCCAAGGGTCCAGCCTCCAATTAAAACACCATACATCATGGGACGCCGTGGTATGACTCTGGCAGCTAGGTAAATAACCACCAGCATGGAGGCGCAAATGCCCAGGATAACACCGGCTAGATAGTAAAAGACACTATTCTTGGCCAGCCGGCGACTGATCCAGAAGAGGAGCAGGCCGGCAGACAGATGCATGAGATGCCACGGGTCCAGGGGCTTCTGCTGCAGGGTCATATTATACGGTTGCCGGGACTCAATGCCGATGCATTGCTGCTCAAAGGGTGAAATTGGGATCCGCTGACGCTTCTGGGAGAATAGCGTCACACTGAACAGGGATTGACGTTGATTGTAGTGCTTCAGTACCTCCTCTGCCGTTTTGCCACCATACTGAGCAAAGTCCTCGGTTCGAATTGCCAGATAGAACTCGATAGTCTCCAGAAAATTAATAATTGAGGGTTTTTTGCCCTTGTAACAGTATGTCCACAGTATCTTGGAGCCAAATGGATTGGCTGTGACATTGATGGAGGTGCCCGGCACCAGGTTAACTACATCAGATGCCGCATCCGGGGAGTTTTGGGCAAAAACCGGCATTGCGGCCAAAGCCAGCAGACAGAGTCCCCGCCACAGCATTTTCAGCCGCATGTAACCTGTAAATAATATGTATTATCAATTCTTTAAATCATCCAGAACCAGCAGAAGCTTACCTTCTCAGTTTTATATTTTTGTTTATATTATTTTCGTCTTTAAAAACGCTTCACAGACGCGACGCACACACGCAAAGCCGGTATCGTGATTATCGATAGCAGTTGCAGATGCCAATCGATGAAATATGTAATATTATTTATCTTTTGAAGTGCCGGTGATTAAAAACAGAATATCTAATTGAAAGTGTTCAAACTATTTTCGATTAATTCAAAAGTGCAAAGTTTTTTAAATTATAAAACATAGAAACTAAATTTAACTTCCAAGTCTCCACTTAACTGTAATCCTAGTTTCAATCCACCTCTTAGGCTGTGATCCTCTTATCGATCTATCGATCGCTACAGCAAATATAAACTGAATTTATTTTCCAAGTTAATCGATAGTACCCATCATGGTTCGCGTCTCTACTTAACTATTATCCTAGTTTCAATCCACCTTTTGGACAACGATCCTCTTATCGATCTATCGATCGCAACGGCAAATCTATTGGCGGCAATTCGCGCCCACCTCCCGTGCATCTCTAACTCTTGTGTGTTTTTCAGCGCGTTTTCCATTCTATAACAAAAAAACAAGTTACAAAAAGCAGGAATATATTTAGCAGAATGCCCGCCGGCCTGGTGAAAACACCGAACAATGGAAAAGCCAAGGAAAGTGCACAAAAGTCCGCGGAGCGAACGACCAGCAATGGCAAGAAATTTGTGCAGACGCGTCTCCCGTTCAAGATGATTACGCCCAGCGGAGCACCCACTGCCGCCGTGTCTAGCACCTCTGGTTTGGAACCTGGAGCAGTGGTGAACCTGGATGAAGATGATCCGCCGGTTACCAGGGAGCCCCGCAAGCGGAAGCTCTCCTATGACGATGAGACGCCGCCACAAGAGGGCACTGGCTGCTCTACGGAACAAGGGCTAGAGAGCAAGGAGAACCTTAATTTGAGCGGTGCCATAGCCACCAAGAAGGTGAAGACTACGGCAGAAGCTGTGGAGGATCAAGTTATCGAGCTAAACGATGACAACAATGAGGAAATGGGTAGCAAAGCAGTAGAGGAAGTGGCAGCTGCGCAACCCAAAAAGCCAAAGGCAGCCAAGGATACAACGGTGAAGAATGCGAAGCCGTTGAAGTCTGCATCCAAGGAGAAGCCTGAGGTCAAGCCCAAGGAAAAGGGTTCCCCAGCGCCCATACAAATCAAGTGGCCATTGGCAAACAAGCGGGCCAAGCGCAGAAAATCCCTCAAGAAAGCCGACGAAAGCACCGAGGATGCTTCGCCAAAGGATGTGGAGAAGGTGGGCAGTGAGTCCAGCGATGATATTGAGATCATAGCCGAGGAATTGAACCCCCAGAAGAAGCCAAAGGTTTTAGAGCCAGAAAAGGACAAGAAATCAAAGAGTCTAGAGCCAGAAAAGAAGCAGATGAGTCGGAAAAACGATCAGGAAGCAGTGGAGCAAAAAGACAAAGTGATTCTTGTAGAGGTGGACAAGTCAGAGGAGGATAAGAAAAAGGACAAGAATCTATCACCAAAAGAAACCAAGAAATCGGAGTCCACTTCCAGTCAAGAATCCACAAAGAAGGAGAAGAAAGTAGATAAAGAGGCTCTTGCCGAGGCCGACATCTCAGTAATCCTCTCCAGCAGCGAGGACCAAAACTCGAGCAGTGATCATGAGATGGATGTGGACACAGAGGTCGCGGAGAAGCCCGATGCCCCATTGAGAAAGAGTCTCCCGGAGTCCACCATTGATGCCCCGAAGACACTCACGCCCAAGCAGCAGCGTCTCCTCGAGCAGCGGCGAAAGGCTCGCGAGGAGAAAGAGCAGAAACTGGCCGAAGAGCGTCGCCTCAAGCAGCAGGAGAAGGAGCAGAGAGAGCAGCAAAAGAAGAACGAGCGCGAACAAAAAGAGCAACAGCGGAAGCTGGAGCGCGAGGAGAAGGAGCAGCAGAAGAAGGTGGAGAGAGAGGAGAAAGAGCGCAAGCGACAGGCGGAGGTTGACTCCAAAAACGAGGAGAAACGCAAGCGGAACGAGGCCAAGGAGGAGGTGCAGCGCAAAAAAGACGAGGAGCGTCGCAAAAAGGAACTAGAGCGCGAGGAAGCTGAGCAGAAGAAGAAACGGGCAGCGGAATCCTTCACCAAGTTCTTTGTGCCCAAGCAACCAAAATCTGGTGGCAATACCAATGCCACCTCGTACCTGGAGCACGAACAGTCCAGCTGCGACAGCACCAAGGGCAACAGTCAGACCCTTGCCTTCCGTCCCTTCCAGATCAAGGACGATATGCTTCTGGCGCCCGTCACGCGTGCCTCTATGAAACATGAGCATCGGTCCCAGCTGGATGGACTCTTCAGGCACGCCGAGGAGAACGAAGGAGAAGATTCGGATACGGACGAGGATATCAGTCGAAGGAAGCGACCCGGCCGAGCACATCTCTATCTCAGTGAACTGAAAAGCGGCCGCCACAAGCCGCTAAAGATGCTGCGGGATGCAAGGCTCCAAAAGTACACCAAGGAGGAGGATGATGACGATGTTCAAGTAATAGGTGCGTACCTTAACTTTGCTTTCGCCTTTATGATTGAACTCCTTGTTTCCCTGTAGATGACCTCGCCACAGCTGGACTGCCCATTGAAGAGGAGCAGCCAAAGCTGCAGGCCAGGATGCGAACCAAGTATCTACACTTTGCGGATAATCGTAGGCCTCCGTACTACGGCACCTGGCGCAAAAAGAGTCAGACTATCTCTGCCCGCCGTCCGCTGGCCCACGATAAGGTAAGTATCTTCGAAGTAAGCTTTTTATTTGGGTTAATTTGTAATCTCTTTGCAGGTTCACTTTGACTACGAGCTGGACTCTGATTGCGAGTGGGAAGAGGAGGAGCCGGGCGAATCGCTGAGCGCCAGCGAGGATGAGAAAGAGGAACGCGAATCGGAGGAGGAGTCCGAGGAGGAGTACAACGAGTGGTATGTGCCGCATGGCCATCTTAGTGATGAGGAGTTGCAGAATGATGGCGATGGCGATGATGGCCACACGCGTGAGGCACAGAAAGCCAAACTGCAGGTGCTGCAACAAGAGTTTGCCCAGGAAATGAAGAAGCAGACAAAGAAGATAAAACCGCGCTTGCTGGGACCCGTCTGGCTGGACGAGAATGGCAACCAGTCGGAGCAGCTGCCCGCCATCTTTGTCAACACAATCAGCATGTATGCCTGCTGGAGTGCTGTGGATTCCATTAGCCTAGAGCCGCCACCGGAACCGGAACGGGACGATCAGGGTCCCGAGCCGCAGTTACCGCTGCAGTTGGACGACCGTCTGCTTCAGCAACTGGTCCGTCTGACCCACGGCAATCGCAACTCCAAGACATTCCTGATTAATGAGTATTTGGAATACCTAAAGACTCAGATGGCAGCCTCTGGGGAACCGAATCGAACACTGTTGCCCGCCAAGGCTGCAATCCGTGAGAAGATCGAAGAGCTGGCCACCTGGAAGCCTGTGGAGCTAAGCACTCCCGAACAGGCCGCCAAGAAGACCAAAAAGCCCAAGAAGCGTCTCTGTTGGATAGTAACCAGCGAAATGCTGCAAAAGTTTCAACTCCAAGAGCTAACCCTGCACAATCAATGGGATTATACGCTGACGCCGAAGGTGAGCGAGGCAGGAGGAGGAGCAGGAGGTGGAGGAGCAGAGGCACAGCAGCACGAGCTAAGTCCTCCAGCAGATGCCTCACCAGTGGCCGCCCAAACTCCTGCCACGATCTCAGCCTCTATAACACCCAATACGACACCCGTTGGACAGGCTAAAAGCGGCACCAAAAAGCGGGCCACCCTGCTCATGTCTGTGCCCAGAGATCAGCCGATTCCCTCGGCCGCCAAGAACGCATTGATTAGTCAGTTTCTGCGCCGTCAGACTGATGCCAAGGAGAAGGAGAAACAGAAAGAGCTGGGGCAAAAGCAGAAGCCAGCGCCTATTGTCAACGATGATGTGGTTATGCTCTCGGATTAGTCTTCCTCTCTCCCTAAGTTTACATATATATATATTCGGAATATTAAACCTTTTTCTTGTCGCTAGATTCGCTTGTAAGTTGATTTAATTTATAATTGTGCCGATCCATGTTCCGCGTCACTCCTGGTCCTGTCCTTCACCCTCCCTCCCACATCCACACCTTTATAATCCCGTCGAGTGCTGCTGCGAGGCAACCATGACACGGACATCCCTGAACCCATCTATCTATACATGTGTATAGTCTACATATATGCAATAATACATTATCTTTTGGTTTTTATTTCTATTCTCACCGGGATCTTGGGTTTGAATGTGTGGGTTATTCTTTTGGCGATTTGATTTGGTTCTTCTGAAGATAATTTTTAGATTGTGATTATCAAGATAGGAAGTTATACACCGAAACTTAAACTAAGAGGATATACATATTTATAAAACATTTATGGTTTATATAATCGAATTTATTCAAGTTTATCTCGTAAAATTAAAATCAAACAAAATAGATGTCAGATATTATGTATATATATTAAATAGTTGAAGTATCTAATATAGTTTATAAATATTCTATGGTAAAAAACAAAGAAATAGTGAAACTTTTATTATTTTATCATACTATATAGACAGTTTCACATTTGCTGTACATTTTCCGATCGTTTCTATAACAACTATATGATTTAGTCGTCCGATCAAGACCGTATAGTAAGATGACTCTGTAAAGTTTCATACAGACCCCTTAAAAATCAGATCAGTTTAAGTAGAAACGGACAGAAACACTGACATGTCTAGATCCACTCGGCTGTTGATGCTGATCAAGAATATAAATCTATCCTTTATTCGGAAATGACTCCTTAACTATGTAGCAAACTTCGTAATAAAATTACCCACAAATAGGAAGATATATCAAGAGGATATATTTCTATATCATATCAATTTAAATATCATTCCACTTACATTAATACCATTAAAGTTTTGATAGATAAAAAACACCAGACTTGGGTATTTTTAAAACTTGTTTGTTTATTCTTTTTGCCATTTTCATTTCTTGTTTTATTAATTAATTAAATTAATTATTTAATATACATTTAGTTAAGATGCCCGACCAACAAAAAAAAATATTACTGTGTCTGCAGTACATAAGTGAGTGTCTGTGTGGGGTGTGTCTCTGGTTTATAAAACGTGAACAAAGGTGTTGTGTGTGATACATTTAGATCCGCAAGAGTTGTCCCTATATTGATATACGATTTACACTTTACGATTATCCCATAAATAATAGCTAATTGTAATCGTTGTTTAATTATTATCCATTAAATGTGTGTCCCAACTCCCTCTCCCTCTATCCCCAAAATTAACTTAAAAAACAAGAAGACACACACGAGAGCTTGGTAATGAAGAAATCTCAAGATAAAAGTGCGAAAAGTTATTAAGTATTTTTCCAAAAAATAACCCTGCATACATACAGTTATCTACGTATGTACACCTATACATGTTTTTTTGTTTTCACGATTTAAATATATTATATATAATAAGGCAAATATATGACAAGGATCGAGTTGAATCGAGCCAATGAATAGTGTAGTAAAGTATCCCAATTAGCAGTGCGTTTCAGTGGCGTAAGTGGTTAAGTACAGGAGGGATATATCGAAGGATAAAATAAGTAATTGAATTTAATAATCAGTCGCAAGTAGATTTAGTGAGGGACATCTTTACACTCGTGAAACGCACTGCCCAAGTGCAGCAAGTAATTATGTATTGTCATTCGTGTTAGGTGTGTACATATTATATGTCGTGTATAACTTTGTTCTTAAATCAAACATCGAGGAAATTAAGTCTGGGGAATACTTAAGAAATAAAATCATTTCATTATCATCATTATTTACACATTTTACGGTTTGGTCACCAATACAAAATATAACAATAAAAAATTACTCTGAGGGTTTTTTTCACGGACGAATTCGGTTCGTATTTTTCCTTAGAAACCATAAGTTTTTAGTTGCAAAAAATTGTTCTACTATTTATACAAAGAAGCCTTTAAAATGCTTTAAATCAAGTTTACTCTACAAAAAGTTACAATTATTTTTTTTAAAAAACATTTGATGTATATTAACTTTTGTTCCCCAAGGAAAAATTGGTGCCAGAATTGTCCCCCAGCTTCGGGTTCGTCCCAACCTTAGAGGGTGTCTGATAAGCGTTTCGTTCTTGTTCAAGTTTGTTTTCCTTATGTTCCTGGTCTCCGTTTTTATAAATTTTTCGTTAATCTTCGTTTTTGGTCTTAATCGTGGTTTTGTCTTTTTAAGTTCCGCTGTGCTTCTATCTTTCCTGATGCATTCCTTGCTCATCTCCATCGCCCTGACCTGCTACTCCCTGCTGAGTCTCATCAAGGCAACGTCAGGGTAGTGATAGGGGCCGGAAGTAGGCGCGACAGAAGATGGTCGAGGCCGATGGCGGCAAATCCTGATTGCGATAATACATATTGCACTCCCGCTCCGTCAGCTTATCAAAGACGGCCGCATATTCGCGATGGAATGTGGCCAAATCCACGTTCGTCCTGCCAATGGCGGTCAGGGCCAGGAAGAGTATATCCCGATAGAAGGAATGCGAGCGCTCAACACCATCACTCTTCAGTTTGTGCCGCTCGTTGGCCAGACGCTTCAAAGGAGTGGCGAAATCGTTGCATCGAATGGCCGAAATGATTTGCTGAATGACACTGCAAAAGGGTGGAGAAAACGGTCAGTTGGTGGTCCTTCTCGGACAGGATTACACTCACTTCTTGTTGAGCTGAGCCTGCTGATCGGCAAACAGGTTCGTTGGCTGAACTTCCCGGTACAGTATGTACATGGGCGGCCCACTGGCCTCGTTATGCAAACTGAGATTGTCCCACAAGCATTGGATATGCACTGTCTTCACCTTGCTCAGCGGATCCAGCTGCTCCTTGTCGCTCTGAAAGATTAGCAGGGATTACTTATTGCATTCTAGAAAAGCAGAAATGAATGAAACACTAACCGGCACGGGCAGGCATAGCTCTGGCAGATGCGTCTTGCCCTCGATGCGCTCCATTAGCCAGAGCAAATTCCAATAGATGATGGGATGCTCCTCGACAAAGGCGGGCTTGATGAGTGCCATGTCGCCCTCCTGGGTGAGTATGTTCTCCAGCTCTTTGCGCAACACCAGGGGATTCAGATACGGCACAGTTAGGCTGCTACTGCTGCTTGTACCATTCTGATCCTTACTCTCCTGCTGGTCCGCCTCCGCCTGTTCCTCTTGCCGCTCAATCTGCACGCTGAGAAAGGGCACTGTGAGCTTGTTGCAGGCATGACAGGTGGTATTTAGGTTAGAATCCTCTGCCGTCCAACCGCTCATGATCTCCTCGTCGTAGACGAGCACCGAGCAATTGTGGCACTGTGAGCATGTTGTCAGTTGAATCATAACATCGCAGTCCCTGTCCGCAGCACCCTAAATATAATATAAATACATTAATAAGAAGCATTACGTCTGGGTTTATATATTTCCACTCACCTCTCCGGTCAGACTGTAGAGATTGTCGGGCAGGGCGGGAAAGGCATGCATATGCAAAGCTCCACTGGAACTATTCTCACCCAGCGGCACCAGGTTGTTGTAGCTGGACTTGCGCGACTCACTGAGCCTGCCCCAGGGATCTAAATCACTCGAGACTCGACGCAGTTTGCCATCCTCATGAACGCCGGCAGAGATGGCAGCGTCATGTTCCTCCAGCTCCGGATTGCTATGCTGCTGATGTTGATGAAGATGATGATGATGATGATGGTGCGGGTGGTGATGATGCTGCTGCTGCTGGTGTCCATTGTTCGTCTTTGTTGGCGTCGAATTGGCCGAAATGACGCCCTTGATCTCATCGAACTTCTTGGTCAGTGAGTTGGCGGCGTACTTGATGCTACTCAGGCTTCCCTGGATCAGCTCGTTCGACTTTTTGCCCGTCAAGCTGGGACTGTGTGTGTGGTATAAATATTAATTTATTAATTAATATTATTAACTTGGTGCTTATAAACCTTAACTATAAATGTTAATGGATGATCAGTGACAACAGAAAAGGTGAATAAAATGGAAATTGGAGTCAGTGACAGTACGAAGCTGATGGTGAAAGGGATAAATTCGGTTTCAGGCTCCACTAGAGGCCTCCTAGAAGATCCCTGCCAGCTTCACCTGCTGTCGCTGGCTCCTGCTCTCTATGGTGGTGCGGTGCTGCTTGGTTGTTTTTGGATAGATGGATCGTTAGCTATATGCGATGAAATCGCATCGTGTTATAGTGTGGATGTGATGTATGCGTGGCTCTTGTCAAACCTTGAATTGCCCGCCACCGTCACCGCCACCAACGAAGACACTTTTGAGGGGAACTGAACCACATTCATATTTAAATTTACATAAAAACCATAACCCAGAAGAAACCCTGCGAATCTATCGAGGGGATAGAGTTAGGTCTCGTGTTTTTGTGTTTAAAAAAACATATACAATACTTTTAACACATAAAATATACAATAATATCAGTATTAAATTAAATAAATAACAAATTATATAATTAAATAATGTAAGAACATAATGAACGCCAAAGAAAATAGGTTTGGGAAGTTTTTTAGGTCTTTTAATCGTTATTTACTGATATTTTTTATATGTTTATTTTTTGGTCAAAACAAGGTTTGAAAAAAATCCATAACTAAGTCAAAAATGCTTTAATTTTGATTCGGAAAGTTGTTTCAAGCTAGTTTTTTTAAGGGTAATAAATCTGCATACTCAAGTTTAAAATTTAATAAAATTCAAAATTTGTCAATTTTTTTTGACAATTTTTAAGGATGTAACCCCTTATAAAATTTTGAAAAAATTTTTTTGTTGCAAACACTGCTAGATCGATTCGGCTTTTGATGCTGATCAAGAATATATATGATTTATAGGGTCGGAAATTACTCCTTCACTGTTTTCAGCTTCTGATTAAAAATAAATTACTTTATCAGGGTTATTTTGAACCAATATTAGGGTTAACTTTTAATTATAAAAAGTACTTTACCTAATACAGGCTTTTCCTGGTAAATTAATTAACACAAATACATACATTTTGCACTAAAATAATTAGCCACACACAAAAATAATTAAGGTTCTTAAGATAAAACTAATAAAAATAGGCCAAAACCCATGGTATACATAAAATCGATTCCATAACCAAGAATTATAACATATAAAATTAGCAAAGTATAGTCTCTATATGTGCGTGTGGTTTTTTCTATCAGTGTAGAAGGTCTCCAAATCAAAGGTCTCCACTTACCTTATGCTCGATATGTTTTCTATAATATTGGCGGGCAATTTCAAGTCTTTCTTAAGGGACAATCGTGCGGGTGAATAACGTCTAAGATATAATTATATATATTATGTATATATATGGAAATAAATCATAAAACAAATGGTTGATAAAGACAGAGAAAGATAGAGAGAGAGAGAGGGAGAAAGGGAGATGGATGTTTAGCCTCTTCCTGCTTTTCTTTTAGTTTCCTTTGTCAAGTCAGGAAAAGGCTGAAAACATCGAAAATTAGTTAAGAGGATAAAAATCCTTGCTTGCTCTTGTGATTTGGTTGGAGGGAGGGTCGTGAAAAGCAACATGTGGATCTCATAAAGGTGATTCAACCGAGAACACGACAACAACAAACGAAATAATGAAAGAAAGATCTGAAGGAAGGTTACCCAAATGTGAACTTTAGCGAGGATCCAATATTGGCCAGACTATGGGTCACACCGCTGCTGGCCACCGGCATTGTCTCCGAGCGGTGCATGCTTTTCCCTATTTGCGTAGATTCGTCGAAGGTGGCACTTCTCTGGCCGCGGAAGAGAATCGGCTTGTCGCTATACAGGCTGCTATCCACCTGCCTTGGCTGCTGCTCATGTTGCTCCTCAGCAGCAGGGTTAGGGCCAGCAGCTGTGGCGGCAGACTCCTCCTCATTGAGGGCACCCAACGGATCGTTTTGGGTGACAGGCGTTCGAGGGGAGATTCTAGAAAAGAAACCAAGTTAAATAATATATCTTTTCGACTCGTAATTTCACTCTCTTACTTGGTTGGACTCTGAACCCGCTGCCTGGGACGCTGGGTGGCCACACGCTCATCGTCATCCGCATTCGCGTTCTCTTCATCCTCATCGTCGTCGTCCTCCTCCTCTTCATCTGCCTCATAGTCTCGACCGCTGCTAAATTGCAGCTCATTGCCGCCCGCATCGAGTTGCTTCTGTGGCGTGCTTGGCGATCCCGCCGTATACTCATCATCCTCGTCCTCGTCCTCATCCTCATCTTCGCCGCCACCGATGCTCATGATTTGCTTGCGCGGCTGCTGCTGTTGCAGGGCTTTGGCCAGAATATCAGTGTCACCGCCATAGGTAGGCGTTGCCGTATGCTGAGCACTCGGCTCGCCGGCATCCGAGGGCATCATTGCATCATTATTGCCACCCGTCACCGTCTGGCGGACAATGCTGCCCAACTTATTGCGCAGCCGGTCGAAGGAGGCAAAGTCCAGCAGGCCGTGGCCACCACCTCCGCCAGCGCCATCGGCACCGCCCGAGGAGGCTAAACTGCTACGCGATTGACCGTCCACCGTCTCCAGAGTGCTGAGATTCTGGTCCTGTGAGTCGCTCAGTGATTTGTTGACCTGAAAAAAACCCAGAAAACTCTAGGATTTACGAAGAATAAAAAAGAGAGAGAGAGTGCTACTTACCTTGGCTGCTGCCCGTCGCTTGCCAGCCCTTCGAAACTGTGCCGCTCCCAGCACCACGTTCTTGATACGATTCCAGCGGATTTGGCTTAGTGTGGTGCTATCACTCGGCCACTGGGACTCCAGCACGCAGCGATTATAGAAGCCGTAGGTGAGGGCATTTGCCTGGACGCCCGATCGCTTCATCAGATAATGCAGACGCACGGCCAGCACGGGCAGGTTATGGATGCCGCAGAGCTGCATCATGATCCGGTAACAGAACTCATCGCAGGTGATCTTTAGCCGACTAGCTCGCACCAGGACATCGTATGCAGCCCGCAATATGTCCGGCTCCTTGCCCGCATGCCGCGTATCGAGCACCATGGAGGGCAGAATGAGAAAGTACAGCGAGTAGCAGGTAGCCAGCAGATACTTGGACCATGCCTCCGGATGCTGCTGACAACGGCTGGCCATCTTTTGGGACAGCTTGATCTCATGCTTGGTCCGCCGAGCAATTGGCGAACCCGGCGACAGCGAGGCGTTCAGCTGCAGTTGCAGGAACTTGGACAGAGCCGTCTTCTTGGTGCCCTCCAATAGCTGCGGCTGCAGCGTAAAGTTCTCATAGTTGTAGGCTGGTTCCTCGTGCGGTCCAGGCGTCACACCACCATCCGGTGGGAAGATGTACTTGGTGCGCTCACTATTCTGGCCCGTATCCCAGTCCACAAGATGCAGTTGTGCCGGTGTTTCATCGTAGTTGCCCACCTTTTCCGCGCATTCGTCAAAGAAGCTAAGCCCATGGTCGCCATCCGAGACAAAGGAGCGTTCCTCAATGAACCGGATGAACATCTGGGTCTTCATCAAAAGCTCAAAGAATTTTTGGTAGGACTGGAAATCAATGAATCTCAATTAATTTGGTTTAAGAGGGGCTAGAATTCAAGTTCACCTTATCCCGTGACCGCAAAAACGCCTTCAGCTGAAACAGGGCACTCGGATCGGTGGCTCCCACCGACGGTGCTTTGGAAATGGGCACCAGAAAGTCCCTATAGCCCCGCAAAATGCTGGCCATGAACAGCAGAAAGGCTTCCTGTATGCGCTGCTCCAGCACCAGTTCCCGCTTTCGTTTCCTTATATCCCTATCCAGGCTATTCGTCGAGTCATAACTAATGGGCTTGGCATTCTCCAGCTCGGTTAGGGTATGTCGGAGTAAGCGAGCCGCCCGTTTGGGCAACAGCTTTGGGGATAAGTGACGCTGCGATTCGCACAACTGTCAAGGGAAATGATTAATTAATTAATGACCTAGAATTCCTAATCTGTTAGTTACTCACGCTTATATTGTTCGTGTCCAGATCAATGCAGGTCACATCTGTGGGCGGCTCATAAAGATCGAAGAAGCGCGAATCCACGCCAATTAAGTATGGCAATGGGGCATGCAACACCTCGGCCAGGCCAAGGGGACAGAGTGGTATATATGGACACTGCCATTTGAAGGGGAACAGCAGAGAAACAATGGCCTCGGCCACGGCGGTCAGTGTGGCAGGTCTGCAAGGAGACAGAAGTATGGTTAAGACCAGAAAACCATGATAAATCAAAGCTAGAAACTAACCTGAGTGAGTGTATGAGTATCTTCTGTTCGGTGAGGGCCAGCAGGAGCACATGCAGGCAATTGTCAGTGCCCAGGTTTTGGAGTAGCATATGAAAGCCAGCGCCGCTTCTTGGCAACGGTGAATCTTCGGGTTGCGTGAGCAGAATGCGATCATTGGACTCGCTAGACAGCTGGAGATGAATGCTTGGCGCCGGAAATGGTACCTCATCCAATAGCTGGGTTATATAGCGCTCCACGGGAATGGGTATATTGACGCCATATAATACCATTCGCTATAAGGAGATACAGAGAACATAACTACATTTCCCTAGGCGGTAAAAAAAGGCCGCCCACTCACGTGAAGGTATTTCAGCCACTTGTCGAAGGTGTCACCGAAAGGATGATGCGACAGCAGGCAAATCGCCTTGATCATGTGCAGCGAGTGCTGCGACCCAAACTTCTCATCCCAACCGAGCAGTTCCTTCTGTTCCTCCGACAACTGAGACTCACTGTAAAAAGAAACCAGAAATTAGGAGCTTTAAAAACCAATAGGCAAAGCTCTCACTCACTCGTAGTCCTCGTAGAAGGTCAGCGCAGATCCATACACCTTGTAGGTGCCATCGTTGACCGTCAGAACAAAGGTACTAAACACAGGACTAATGGGCTTTCGCTTCTCCGTTCCATTGACATGTGGCCAGGCCTCCAAGGAGGCACCCATGGGCAGGCAGAAGAGCGGTACGCTTGGACACAAATTCAGCGGGAAATCGTTGTGATCGACGGTGGGATAACGCAGCAGGATCTCCGGCTTGTAGCTGATGTGCTTGGGCCGATACATGGATTTCTTGTAGCACAAATACACATCGCTGCCCACATAGCCCTTGTTCAGTGTCTTGTAGATCAAACAGAAGGCATGCGGTGCCCGTTCCCCCTTGCTCTGGACGATGACACAGAGTTCGGTGACCACCAGTTCGTTGCACGGCATATCAGCCCGGGCGCGTCGATACGTGAGGAAGGTCTTGGCCGTGGAGTTGTTAACGTTAGCCACTCGGCCGCCAGGTGTTTCGGCCACAATCTCAGCGTCCGACATGATTCGTTCGTGGCCATCATAAAGGACTCCTACAAAGAGTTAGGGAATGGGTTTTATGAATGTTCTTGAACTGGAGATAAGGAAAATACAAATGTTTCGCATACTTTTGTCTCATAAATAAAGGCATAATTTGTGTCTACAACTTTTTTTGTTTATAATAAAATAAGGTCACTTGCATTTATCGTGTCTAGATTACAAGCCTAAAGTGTTCATTTCTTATCTATGAAAACCGAACCACATAGAGCTTTCCTTTGATTGATTGATGGAGCCTCTCCGCCTAAATCAATATTTATTTATTATAAACAAACTTAGAGTTGCAACAAGTAGGGAAAAACCATTTAACACAAACTTTATATAGAAAACTAGCCTTATTTATATATTTTTAAGCATAAATTATAAGGTAATCCTGAGTTTTATTTCAAAAATGAGATCATTGCTCCTCTTATCGTGAAATGGCATTTTTTTGTGCTTTTAAAATACAGGAAATTCGTTATCAGGTTGGGGTTTGAGGCCACTATGGGGTTTCCTTTAAAAGTTAGCCCCTTAACCCACCTATATCCACTAACGGTGGACGATCCTTGCCCCGTCGAAAGTAAATGTAGCATTCGGTGGTGCGCACTGATCCATGATTAAGGTTAGCCGGCAAACCGGTGGGCGTGTGTGCCAGTAGCTCGAAGCCCTCGGGTATCTCTTCGCCCAGGAGGGGAAAGAAGACGCCAATGTCCGTGATGGGCTCAATGGTGCTTGCTGCCCTCAGCCGACCCGAGTCATTGAAGATGTTCTCCTGTAGTAGTTGAGGCTGCTCCGGCATGCCGGCGACCACGAAATAGTCGGCAATCCGTTTCTCCTCCATGGCGGCGTCGTTCTTGGGTTTCTTTTTTAACCTCTGGACCTCTGAAAGAGATAGCGAAAAAAGCCGGGTTGAGTGTTTAATTCTTGAGAATGAAAGGCATAAAGCGACTTGGATATGCCAGAGATAAGATAAGGCAACAGTAGGGTTTTATTTTTGCTTCGATTCCAACTTTAATTAAGTTTTTTCTTTTTGTTAGAAGGGGAGATGCGATAAAGTAAACATTATTTTCATTATTTATATCAGTTTTAGAACATGGGGTACAGCTGGAAACCTGACATCGAATGAATTTATATGAAAACTGTACGTTTTTGTAAGTGTAGGCTTTGTTTTAAGGCTTCTTAAAGAGCTCTGACCATTATTAAATCATATATTCAATATTAAATATTATTCTTTAATAAAATTAATGCAGAGGATCCACTGTACCATAGATATATTAGTGTGTAAATATGGCGTAGGCTCTCCACATGGCGCAAAATGCTTTTGTTTACATTTACTGCTTGAGCCGGGGTATTTGAAATGGATTCGTATGCGTTTTACAGTCCAATTGGACTTTGCATGAACCTAACAAATAGATTTAATGTTTATGCTTGGAGCGGCAAAAACAAATGGAGTTGGGAAAACAAGTTCTGCCACGATGATTCAACTTCCTCCGCTTCCGTTCCACAAATAACAGCAACAACACAACATATACAGCGGCAGCAATAACAACAACATCAAAAGCCATGAATTCTTTTTGTTTGTGCAGATTGTGCGTATTGTTGTTGTTGCTGTTTTGTTTACAGGAATCCAATAGGAACTTACTGCAATCCTTTTTGTGTTGTCCTCCGCCAAGGTTTAATGTGTGGCAGGGGGACAACCTTCAGTTGTAAGTTGCTTTTGTTGTTCGCCTTGGACTGCAATTGTCGCTTTTCCTTCGCCACTCTTCTTCACACTACGTTAATTTCCACACACCAAAGCGCACACACACACACGCACACATACACTCGCACACGAGGGGCGCGCACACACACACACACACTCACGCACACGCACAAAAGCTACTTGAGAGTTTTCCTTTACATCATTTTCGCTTCACTCTCAATTGTCCAATTTAATGGTTGTCTTCAATTGAATCCGTTTGAAATGTTACGGTCGCTGGGTCAGTGGAAAAGTTAATAAACTTTAAAAGCACATCTGTGTGGGACAAAAAGTAAAAAGATTGTTAACTGGCCGAGTTGCGTGTGTGTGTGTGTGCGTGAGTGCCAAAGTTGCCAATCACAGGCAAATAGCTATCGATACATTCGGCCTATCGATGGAAAACCGTGTAATTATTCAAAATTTAAATTAAAACTGCAGGTTTTGTGAAAAAAATCTAAAATTGTTCTTAAGCTGTTAAAAATTAAAAATTGTTAGTTTAACTTGTGATTAGCGACTGTTGTATTACAAAATAGAGAGCAAGTTCAGTAGCTTTTTCAAAAGCTTCACAAATAGGTTAATCGGTACAATCGATAGATGCTACCATCAAGGCTATCGATATATGTTTTTTTTAATAGTTGAGCTACGGTCACACTAATTACCATATGTAGCAAAAAGTAAACAAAACGAAATAATTAAATGGATGCAAAACCGAAACGCTCTTTTAAACGGCCATTCGCATTCCCCAAGAATTGCGTTTACCGCCCGCTACGGCAAATAAGCAATATGGAGCGGAACAAAAAGCTGCCGGCCGATCGGCCCACCTGTAAGTGCAGGAAGCGTGGAAATTGTATATTGGTTCAAAAAGGTGTTCTTTTGCAGACTTCACGCTGAATGCACCGCCCTCGCTGGTGCCCGCCAAGAAATACTCAGATATTAGCGGCCTGCCTGCTCCGTATGCGGATCCCCATACCAAGCTGCGGTTCGCCAATGCCGATGAATACGCCTCCATGCAGAATATGCCCTCGGATATCATTAATGGGTACCTAACCGTTCGTGGCTATACGAGTGCCGTGGGATAGTCCCAGTCTATAATATTATATATAGTCCCCACAATATACCCGATATTCTGCTCCGCCCCTGGAGGCGACTTTCGCGATTCCCATCAACAATTGCTAATTACGGAGCTTGCTGACCTTAGTTTTCCTAGCATTGCGTGCAAGGTTGCGGTTCTGAGGCTGCTTCCTGCCTAGAACTGTTCGCTGAAGGTCAAAGAGTGCTCGAAATTACATTGTAAGCCCAGTAATAGAGTTGCAAATGAAAGGAAGTTAAGTGCCGCCTTCAATATCACCCGATCAAGGCTAGAAGTTGCAATGAAACTACTATTTTTGTAGTACGTTTTAATCAGCATTAATTTAATTTATGAACGACTAATGAACAAATAAGTTAACATTAAAGGTATATAATTAAAGGGACTAACTATGCAGCTCCTGCTAAGAATACAAAATCACAAATCTGTTAAATTATGTGCTTAATTTAAAGGTAGGAAAGGAAATCAGGAGAGGGCGCTTCCAACTAAATATATGTTTATAGAAATGGCAACAACACATGACATACATATTTAGTATACAAATGCACACTCACTTGTGCCTTGATTATTAATATTATATAGTTAATGGAGTTTTTATTTGGGCATTTTTGATATAAATGTTTTACAAACTACATCGCTATCTCAGTATTCATAGTATCATTCGCAGTTATCTAGTAATTTGCGGTTTGTTTTGTATATAATTTATCAGCTATCAGAGAAGTACCGAAAGCAAGTTTCTAAAACTTTTGTTAATTACTGGGGCTTCTCTCTCTCTTCTCTCACTGTGTCTCCATGTGCTCAATGATGCAACTATATCAGGTATCGTCCTTAGTTCACCTTATGTATTAGCATCATGATTTCGTCCTTCTTCAACTTCATGTATCTCTGGCTCTCGTCATTGTTCTCTGTTATGTGTAATTCGAGCTCGCTCCTCCAATGGTTTTAAGTACCAGGAACCGGACTAGTGGCTCCCAGATGCAGTAGTTCTATGCGGATGCAGAGTAGTTAGTTATTTCACTTGTTGTGGCAGTTCGTTCCCTCACATGACCGTCTCCAGCTCCGCTTTGGGCTGCTAGCCAGCCTGGTTTATCGGCCGGCTAATACTGTTCGGCTGTGTGAGCATTTGCAGGTCAGAGCGGAAGCTACGCGGCAGCCCCGAGATGTCCAGCTGATGCTTCAGCACCACCATCGTGGCCAGCGTTTTCAGTGTCGGCTCAAAGTCCAGCACATGCAGATCGCTGTAATCGATGAGGGCCACACCCGACTGTGCTCCAGCGCCTGCCGCGTTGGCCGCCTCCTGACTGGGTGTGGCGGTCACCGAAGGCAGAGGGACGGCATCGGTGGCGGCGGTACCGCTGCGTGGACTGGTGCCACCGAACAAAAACATTCTGGTAGCCATCACAATGGCGCATTGCCGGCGGCGAGCTGTCGGTGCCTTGCCATTGGCGCGTATCAGATTCCACAACTTGGTGCGCGGATCGAAGGTGTACAGATCGTTGAAATGCTGATCCAGCAGGCCGTTGTAGCCACCAAACACATAGATCAGTTTGTTGTACACGAACATGCTGTGGCTGCGACGGCCGACGGGCACCTTGCCCGCCGTAAAAGGACGATGCCACACTTTGGTCTTCATGTCCAGGTAGACGATCTCGTGACAGTAGGTCTCCTCTTGGCTGTGGTACGGACTGTGCTTGTCCCCGCGTCCGCCAAAGATGTACATACGCTCCTGCTCGTAGGCCACCGCTGCATGAAAGTCCCGGTAGCTGGGCGGCACGCCGAAGGTCTGCACATAGCGCCACTCCATGGTGTCCAGATTGAGCGAATGAACATCGCTGCTAAACTCATTTATCTCGTCCACAAAGCCGCCAAAGATGAACATGCTGTTACCGATCACACAGGCGGAGTGGCCATCGCGTGCTCCGGGCAGGCAGCCTGTGACCGGTGGACGCGACCACTTGGCCGTCTTTGGGTCGAAGCAATACAGGGCGTTGCAGAGGTACTCGTCATTCCGACCGCCCCAAATGTAGATTCGATCCTTGTAGGCCACCACTGTGTGGCCGTAGCGCTGGAAGGGGACTAGGGGATACTTGAGCGGCTCCCCGTCCTGGTCCAGCTGCTGCGGCACCAGCGTCCAGCGCATGGTGTGGGCATTCAGGACATGGACATCGATCGGCTCATTGTGGCGATAATCGTAGCCAGTGCAGTAGCCGCCGAAGCTATAGATGAAATCGCCCACGCCCACGGCAGCGTGATTGACCCGCTGCGGGCCACCGTCCAAGTGCACTGTCCACAGCATTTGGCCAGCTCTGAAGTTTCGGGAGCACAGTGCAAGTCCACAGACAAAGGAGCAGCAGAAACCGAAAAAAAGAGTGGAAAATTGGAAAAACACACAAAGAAGTTAGGAGGCGGCGCTGGCGAAAAGGTGGACAACAACCTAAAACACACACAAAGGAAGACAAAGGCACCGCAGTTGTTGTTATTGGAGTCGCTGCTGTTGCTACTGCCACTGCTTTTGCTCCAAGATGTGCGAGCGCTTGAAGGCCACCCAGGTGTTAAGGCTGCGCTCTGCTGATACCGATCCAACACCCAATCCAATCCAAAAACGCTCGCTTGCTGTGTTCAAATACAGGTGAAGTGGTATGGTGGGGGGAGGGGAGGCGTTGGAGCTGGAGATTAAGTCGATTGGCCAGTACAATTCCCATATATCGATAGTTTAGTGGCAATCGACTTGAAGCGATAATAATTCCTTAGAAAAGTGAGCCTATACTGGTCACACTAGGCAACGCTTTTCACTTTTTTTAAACGATTTTACAACAAATTAACTGACAAGATTTTAACAAAGCAACTGTAGACACAGTTATGGATAGTAATATATATAAATTTCAAATATTAAAAAAATCTGATACATGAAATCTTAAAAAGGGTATCCTGCGAACTTGAAATAAAAGTTGTAGCGGTTTTAAAGGGCTTTTATCTATTGGTTTTATTTTGAAATCGATTCTTATCAATCGCTATATTTATACATATATATATATATATATATATTTTTCGACTATAATTTCATTTAAATATTATGGTTGTTGCATGAAGGCTTAATCGATTAATTTAAAATAAATTCATTAACAATTCGTTTCAACAAATTAGGTTCTGTCCATAGATAGGTGTATATATATCTGATAATACGATACGTAATTAATTGCGTAAATAATTGGAACTTGTTGCTGTACGCGATCCGATCCTTGGATATTCAGCATCCAGCGACCCATTTGTCCTATATCTGATATATATTCTGCTTACCATATAATGTTACAAGTTCTTTACACATAATTAAAGCAACAAATTTGCTTGTGTTCAGGGTTCTTCTCTTCAAAAAACCAAACAAAAAAATGGCAAAAAAAAAATATTTTAAAAAAGTTTAAACAAAAATAAATAAAAATAAACAAATTATAGCTGTCTCTGTCTATGCTCTTGTCTTTCTCTGTAACGGTAGTTCTATGTATGTATTGTGTGTATGTGCCTCTTCTGTGGGTTCATGAACTTTGCTTTGTTAACAATTTACTTTCGTTAAGTTTTTGAAACTCCTTCAACTTTGGTATAATATATCTCGTAATCGTAATTGTAATCGTAATTGTAATTGTAATCGTAATCTTTATCGTACTGATCAAATGCTAGATGCGCGTTTAAAGTCGATTTATCTTAGTGGAAAAAAGTCGATTTCTCTTTTAGCTACAAAATTGAAAAAGGCTGTGATGTTTGTTGTTTGTTTTTTCAGTGTATGTGTGATTTTTGGAGTGTAGGTTGTGCAAATTTTGCGCTTATCGTTGTCTTAATTTTGAAACTCCTCCTCTGTCCGCTGGAATCTAAAAAAGTCTGTGCTAGCATATATGAACAAAGTCGTTTTGGTGGCAGCTAGCTGCTCCAGGATCTCCCCAGGATCCACTACATAACTCCTAGATGCATATATTACGGTGCAAAATTGAACACTTTCGCCCTAGACATCGATCACGCTGTCGTTCTTCTTCATCTCCATCAGATGGGTCTGCTTGAGCTTCTCCTGCATCTGGGTGAGCATGTCCTGCATGCGCCGGATCTCCTCGTCCTTCTGCAACAGCAGGCGATCGGTCTCCGATATGGCGGCATCGAATCCATTCGTGGAGCTAATCGAATCCCGCTTCAACTTGCCACGCTCCCGCAGCGCATGCTGCGAGATCTGTGAGATGCACTGTGCCCGGAAGTTCTCATAGTGGACATCCTGCAAAGGTTAATCCGTAGGATAATTACTCTTTTCAGAAAGGTATGTGTGTGTGTATAACCCACCTGTGTGGTATCCTTGAGATCCTGCATGTGCGTGGATATCAAGAAAGTGCGCAGCTTGATGAAATCACTGTGCTCTGGATCCTCCACATTGACCACACCCCAGGGATACTGCCTGCCGCGCACCTTCTTGCCGGCCACCTCCAATATAGTATTACTTCCAACTACAGCAAATGGTATAGATGCCTTCAGTTCGCGATCCTGCTGCTTAAAGTCCTCATCTTCGTCAGAGTCGCATTCGGGGAACTGATACAGCTGAATATGATTATCCTCGAGGTCCTGCAAGATGCGCTCCTTCAGCTTGCGCACCTCCTGCTTATTCAGGCAATCAGCCTTGCCAATGACCAGGACAATGTTTACTTTGCGGTGCAACCGTCGGATCAGGTCCAGGTCCATCTGTCGCAGGCTAGAAAAGGAAATTAATATTATTACTATACAAATATATCCAAATATCAAGTATTATAATCACCTGTGTCCCCAGGGCGGTACAAAGTATAGGCAGCAATGCACTCGATTATCCTGTATATTCCGCCGATTGAGTCCGCTCTCGTCGGTAAAGTATTGGCGGAACTGTTCATCTATATACTGGGTGCACACTCGCCAGCTGTCCTCACAGTTGATGGCATCCCCAAAGCCAGGAGTGTCCACCACAGTGAGTCGCAACCGCACGCCACGCTCCTCAATGTCCATTGTCTTCTTCTCCACTTTGGTTGTCTTCTCGATGCGCTCCTCCACATTGGGCATCTGTCGATTCTTGTAGAGATCCCCCAAGAACAGGCTATTGATGAGGGTGGATTTGCCCAGTCCGGACTCCCCCACAACCATCAAAGTGAACTCGAAGCCCCGCTTCACTGACTTCCGGTGCACTTGCTCTGGTAGGGTGGCAAAGCCTATATAATCCCGATCCTTGTCGAAGGATGGTGTCTTAGCTGGAAAGATATGCAAGCAAGAAAGTATGAATAGAAAGTTTTAGCAAGAGATTTAAAGTATTTGTTATAAAAGTTTATGTTGTTTTCGCTCTTATTTCTTTACGTGTTACCCAAGAGGGATGCTTAATAACACAAAACGGGTTAATCGACTGAAGGACCTTGCTCTTGGGTCTTGAATCTTGCTCCTTGACAGGCCTACGTCTGTCTCATTAGGCTTGCGGAATGGTGGAATGGCTGTCATTGAGTGGAGTGACAATGTCCTTAAGAGAGCGACAGCAGGAACAGCAGGAGTGCTATTGCCCATGACCCCTTCCCCTTTATACATCCTGGACTCTTACACATGTTCCTGGTGGTTCCTGGCTTCCTGGTGCTGTGTGTGTCTTCCGCTTCCTGACGCCCTCCTTACCGGCCCAAGCTTCGTGTGTATACCGAGGGCCTACTTAAAACGTAATTGGGCAAAAAGCCTCGCACTTTTCCTGCAGCCTTCAGGGCTTTCACTCTGTATCTCTCTCTGTATTGTTGGCTGGTTTTTCTTTTTTTTTTTTTCTTGCTTTTTGTCAGCCAATTTGTCACATTGTTTTATTGTTCTTTGGCCGCTTTCTTGTCGATTTAAAAAAAAATATTTATATATTTTTTATATATTATATATAGATCCCCGAGTTTAATGAACACTTTATTGTAAATATTGTATTGTGGCAAAGGTGCAACTCGCAAGCCAACTGCCCTAAAACCATCCAAAATTAATGTACTCTCTGTCCGTCACTCCCTCTCTGCTACTCTGCCACTCTTCCTCTCTCTCTCTTGTGTTGTCTCTCTATCCGTTAGAATGTCCTGTCAAGTGGCAACACCGAAATGCAACTTTCCCCGATACTAGTTACCCTCTATTTTCATATTTTCATTCTCTCAGCGCCTGCGCTCAAGGACCTGCCTTGAAACTAGCGAAAGCCCGGAAAAGTGAGCCACATATTAAAGGGGTTTTTTGGTTTTTGGCCAAAATGCGTGGCGTTGCCAGATTGGTTTTTAATAATAATATATCCTTACTAATACTATTTTTGAATAATTTCAAAAAACGACTATTTTATTTATGAGATCTTATTAGAATTATTTCTCAAACGTATTTTGACCTTTAACTTTAATCTTTTCAGTTCAAGTTCAGGTAGAAATATCGTAATATCCTGTGCCGGCTTCTCGGATTTCCTTTAACCAGGAAACTAACAAAAGTGAGGGAGAAGCCTCTGTCTCTCCCCTTTTGTTCAGTTCTTTGCGTTTAACAGAGGTTGAGAGATCCCACCCTCTTTTAAGAGGGCCAAGTCTAAGGGTGGCACAGTCCGCAGGACAGGCAGGACATTTGTTGGTTGCATTGTTCCAGCTCACGTTTTGCATTCATCGATTTTAAAATGCAGCCACCAACGCACAGTTGGGATACCTAAAGGTGCCTTTGCTTTAAAAAATCTTGCTTCTATAAGCAGTAACCAGTACCCAGAGGGTTGCTGGAGACATCTTATTTTAAACTATATATTATCCTGATCAGTATAATCAAGCAAATCTGAGATACAACTGTAGGGTTATTTGCCACATTTATACTTTCATTAAAAGAAAGTAAACAGGAAATCAAGACATCAGAAAAACCCCAATTAAATCCCATTTTTAACATCTCCTTTCATTATGATCGTCGTCTTTTTGCTTAAATTTTGTGTAAACTTTTTGTTTAATTGTTGCGAATCGAGTGAGTAAACAATGAATGAACTTGCTGTGCCATGCCGCATTTTATGGGTGACTCTGTTTGTTTGTGTCTTTAGGGCGCAGATACAGTTATCTTTTGGCGAATCTCTGGGCATATGGAATGCGGCCGTATCTACATCTGTTGGATAAATGTGCGAAATCGGGCCCAGACCGCAAAGGAACGAGGGCTAATGAGCGCGTTGACTTGGCCTGACTGGAAGATTGTCTTATGTAAATAAACGCAGGGCATCACCGAAGGCGGGGGTATGGCACAATGCACAGTGGAAAATAATATCTATCAATACCTTGAAATTAAACCAAGTTCTAGGGATAATTTTCCAAATTTAAGTAAGAGAAAAAGATCAAGCTCGATGTGTTTCTCCTCCTCCTTCACCTGCTGGTCTTCAAGTGATGCTGTCACTCAGATAGAGAGAAAGAGAGATGTTCAAACGCCCACGCCCATAGGCCCCCTTTTGGGGCACTTCCCCTCATCTAATTTGTCCCCCTACATTTTCCACTCCACCCACGTGCAGCTGACAAAATCGGAGCACTCAATCCGATAAATCAGTTAGTGGCTCCTATAGTCTGGACAGAATTTCTCCCTGTGTCTGTGCTCTCTGCTCCCATTTGAGATCTTTAACGCGCGACTGGATGGCTGGCTGACTGCTTATTGTCGTTTGTTTATCCCAAACAGCTTTTCTGTGGGCGTTGCAGTTTTCATTCTATGCCCCTTTTCATTCTCTACCCTCCACCCCCCTCCATACCCCTTTTTCCCCTTTGATTTTCCCCTCTGGGCACTTTTGGTGTTTGTGGTTCATTGACTAGACTTGTCGCTGTCATCGTCATTATGACTAGGTCGGGGGTTCGGTGTCTCTATAAACTGAAACACACCCAGAAAAATATGCCTTATATTGAGGCTAATTTTCCTCAAAATAATCTCTCTTGGAATTCCAAAGTTAAATTAAATTATAAGACTTTAACCCATTTTTCTACCTTCGCAGAGTATTCTACTTTTAGTCAGCAGCTTAAAACCAAGTGAAGCAGTCATTTCCGACCCCATAAATCATATATATTCTTGATCAGCATCAACAGGAGAATCGATTTAGGCATGCCCGGGAGAAAAAACATTTTATAAAATTTTTCAAAATTTTATAAGGGGTTACATCGTTAAAATTAAAACAAAAAAAATTGACAAATTTTAAAATTTTATAGAATTTCAAATAGAGTATGCAGATTTGTTAGCCTATTAAAAACTAGAAATAAATTGCTTTCCGATTTGAAATTAATGAATTTTTGGCTTAGTAATCAGTTTTTTTTAATTTTAATTTTTTGAAAAAATTGTCATATAAAAATAACATATTTCACCAGACTGTTTCCATATAAAACCTATTACATTTAGTTCATACATTCCAAGTATTTCAAAACTAAGGCTTAATATAATATATGTATATTCATATTCTATTAAACTAAAGGTTTCAAATATTTATTTCTGCAATGCCCTAATATTGACCCATTTCTCTGGATGTATCAGTCGTTGTGCATGCCATTAATTGCCGATGGGAACCATGAGTTAAGTTGTTGTTTGGGTGTCAACCACTTGAGCATTTATCGCTGCCCGATCGGAATCGGCTGGCAAATGGCCTGGGAAATGATATATATCTGAGCTCTCTCGACACGCCCGACATTATGACAGACCATTTAACACTTGGCGACACATCAATTTCAATCTCAGCGGACGACTCCGATCCGAAACCTCCAGATCCAGGCGTATTATGTATAGATGCCCCTTCTTGTCTTACTTCTGGCCCAACTCAATTTGATTGATCAATTAAGTTCAATTCGAGCTGAAGCTGTAATGCAGAATGCAGCAACATATAATACCCTCACAAGGAGTTCTATTACTTGTACGATATGTAGGAATATATCCCAAAGTTGTATTAAAAAACAAAGTAAGGAGAGGTTTTACTTGTGGAATTCACATTTAAAATGTAAGCTCTGGAAGGGTGTTTCAGTTTTGGGTTACCCAAGCTCTAGACCTCGAATCTTGTTATATATTTATATATATATAAATATATATATGTTTTTTGTGCCCTACGCATCTGGTTTTCCTCCTCCTACTCTTGGCAAAGTTCGAGTGGCTTGTTGAACGCACGAGTGCCCAGACTAAGGAGAACCGGAGGAGGCATTGCCCCAGTAAGGGGATACGCGAAAACAGGGACAGGGACTGGGATTGAGGCTTGGAATGGCTCTTGGCTGCATTGAATGTGCATCGGCATTGGGTTTCTTAAAGGCATTTGGGCATGTAAACAAATGCCAGTGGGATATAGAACCCACTACAATGGCATGAGTCACTAAACAAAGACTTGATAATAAAACTACAGAATAAAACAACAAGTCTTGTGCAAAACTAGGTTCAAATAAGGGTTTATGTTATACCTAAACATGAGAAAAAGGAATTTTGCCACAAAGGGGAAGCCTCACTGTACACAGCTATCCATCCACACATCCATGGTCTTTTGCTGCTGTTCCATAAATAGAGAAGCATCTCCTCCTTCTCCTCCTCCTTCTGGGTGCAGCTCCTCCTAAAACAATTGACGGCATTTGAAGTAGCTGCCGCTGCTGCTGCCCAGCTTCACTACTAGTTTCAGCTCCAGATCTCCACTGACTGCATTTCAGTGGAATTTTTAGCATTCAGAATCGTTTTCGATTCTGTCGGATTTCAATGCAATTCGATTTCGGAATTCTTTAGTTTACCAGACAGCCAGACAGACGCTGGGATAAGTGTTTAGGTTACATAAAATCGACGTGGATGATGCCACACAAAAAAATTACACCATCAATTCTGCAATATCTTCTGGTCAGAGCAGAAGCGATTCAAGACTTTTAATTAAACTCTAAAAAAGTTCGAAATAAAGGAATACTGTCAATATTGTGTTCTTTGGCTGTGTTTACCAAGAGACTTTGAATGGATCTGTCATCGCCTTTGATTTTCTACCTTTTCCAAATCCATTTTCCCTTTAAGAAATGGATCCCCGCCAGATTTAAAGAGATCTATTTATAATACATGAATCTATAAACCAAAATCTGTGCCACTGCAGCCCTTTACCCCTTTATGTTTTTGGGAAACTGAATATTTGACAGCTTTATGAACAGATTTTTCCTAATTGCTATGAAAATTCCTAGGCTATTGCCCACATAAAAGAATCTAAAAACACACCAGACGTCAGGTGAATAGGATTTTAAGCTAAAGAGGACTTTTTTTTTTTAAAGCAAAGATACTTGGGGTTATTTCTTAATTTCATACCCTTGAAGGGTATTATTATTTTAGTCAGAAGCTTGAAACTATGTGAAGGAGGCATTTTCCAATCTATAAATCATATATATTCTTGATCAGGATCAACAGGAGAATCCATCTAACCATCTTAGGCAGGAAAAAATGTGACCAATTTTTTCAAAATTTTATAAGGGGTTACATCGTTAAAATTAAAAAAAAAGACAAATTTTTAAATTTGTAAAAATTTTAAATTGAGTATGCAGATTTATTAACCCACTAAAAACTAACACAGGAAAGCTTTCCGATTGGAATTGAATGCATTTTTGACTGAGATATGATAGAGAGGGTATAGAAATTTAGGTTTTCCGAAGTTAGCTTCCTTTTTTGTTTACCTTCCTTTTTTTAAGGCTCATCCTGGTTGCTATTATTTCAACTGCCTCTGTAAATGAGCTTGTAAAAACGCCCCGCATTTGAACAATGCATAGAGAACTTAGAGAACAACATATATCACATATAGCACACAACCACAATGGGACAGCCCAGAAACATGTGTATTCATTTGGCATAACAATGAAGCTGGGCTCCTAATGAGTTTTTAAACGCTAAACTGCACAATTTTTAATTGGAACTAACGAACGAAAGTCTAGAAAAGAACAGAAACTAAATGGGGAATGAGCTTTAGGGACTGGCAAATTAATGGGAATGAAAAGTCACTGTGAAAATGAATAAATACATTTGGACAATCGAAGAATTTTCTATATTTTTTCAGATATTTTAAATTGAATAATTTATGGGAAAATACTTTGCATAATATAGCTTTAGAGGCGATTTTAAATTGGATTTCTAGGGGCTTCCATAGGAGAACTACTTTATAATACAATTTCAACTTTATTTAATAAAAGCAGCAGTTAGGAACCTTTTTAAATATTAGTTTAAAGACTAAAAATAAGAAAAACAATAAAGCACACTTTGAGTTGAGCTTCGTAATATTTATTAATATAATTAGCCATGGTACATATAGCTTATCTTATCATTTATGCTTCCAGTTGTGGGCTATGACTGGAACTGGGTTGGCCGATGAGTAGTACCAAGAAAAAACCAAACAAAAATATAAACAAATACAAGCTTGTTAATCTAAGCAGTACTCTTTTGTTATTTATGTTTTTTTTTGTTCTTTAAATACTAGAGAAACCAGAGAATTATCAGCTACAAATACTTGTAAGGTAGACTTTTTAATGGCATTCTTGATATCTTATTGATAAGAAATTTGAAGAATACTTAGTATAGATTGAAAAATAATACATTTCGCTTGAATAAGCACAAACCTTTTCTACTTTTAATACCCAGAAGGAGGCACAACTCCTTATTTATTTACTTTCTGTGCTCATTCGCCGACTGAGTTAAAGGGGAGCCTATGGCCAGCTAAAGAGGCCTGGCTAAAACCATCATTGAACCCACTAACGACATGTCAACCACAAGTACCGTTGGCTGCGGTCACGTTGCCCCACTGCCACTGTTGGTGGAACGAGCCCCACCGCCAATGTTATGGCCAAGGCCCTGGCCGATCTGCAATTGGGATTGGGGTATTGGGTGCGGCCAACTTCACAAAACCAAAGCCCCAACCAAAACCAAACTCACACCAAAAAAAAAGAGTAAGAAATGAAAAGAAAATGTAAATAAATAAAAACAAAGTCTACGCATACCAAAAACGGGAGGCAGTCCCAACTTCCAGTCCGAAAGCAAAAAAAAATAAATAAATATAAAAAAAAATAATAAGTAAGCAAGTAAACCACGGCGAAAGCGAAGTAGGCAAAAAAGGAAAGGAAGCCGCCGTCACCGCCAGTGAGCCGACTTTCCAAGCCATCGGAAAATAGTTTTGCCAACCAATTTTCTTGTCCGCCAAGGAAAAGCCACGTAATGGGGGAAGCCAGTGGAGATCTCGAGCTCCGATAAGATCGATCCACCCAAACGGGGCGAAACCAATCGAACATGTTGGGAGAATGTCTTTGGAGCCCATTTAAGGTCACCAAATTAAGCACTTGAGTCTCTAAAGTATGATAACTACATACATACTGCCTGTATTGAAATTATATTATTTATACTATAGTTTAGTAAATACAATTAAGTATATAAAGTGAAGGAGTCATTCCCGACCCTAGAAATCATATATATTCTTGATCGGCATCAACAAGGGAATCTTTGTGTGTATCTCGTGAAGCAAAAATTTATTGTCAATTTTTCATAATTTTATAAGGGGTTAGTTACCTCGTTAAAATTTCCAAAAATTTATAAAAAGAAGAATTTTTGAAAATATAAAATGTTGCATGCAGTTTTATAAGCCTGCTAAAATCCAACACAGAACAGCTTTCCGAATTAAAATTAATGCATTTTTGGCTTAGTTATGACCTAATTTCTAGCTCTAGGGTACACCAACTTCGGCTTTAAAGAGTCAGCTGTCTACTTCCTTTTCTCTCTTCGTTTCATTATTATTATTATTATTTGAATTGCAGTAAAGTTATTCTTTTTAACAAAAGAAAACTTGTAATATTCAAGTTTAGCGTTTTTAAGTAACATTCATTTTAATTTAAGAATTATAAAGAGATAAAAAAGCTGAATCAATTCGTATTTCACAGGAACTGAGTGTGACTCTAAGCAAACTTTGCAGTTTTAAATAAACAGAAAAAAGCTTCAATAAGTCAATTACCATTCATCACGATAAGTTTAGCCAACTTTACGTTTACTTACATATAACCCTTTTAAAGCTACATATCTCAGGTGATCTTATTTATATGTTCTTTAGCCTTATTTACCCAAGATATAAAATAGTTCCGATGTTTTTGTTTTTTACTAAGAAACTATAAGAGCTAACATATAGTTTTTCCCAGAATTCAGCCTTCCAGAAACCATGTGGGGTTTCTACTGTATATATGTTTAAAGTATGTCATCATTTGGATTCAACCCTTTTCCTTTAACCCCTATTTGCAAATTTTGTTGTTTTGTATTTTTGCACCCTTGAAATCTGTGATTTTTACTTACGTTTTGGGTAAAGTGGCGGTCGACACTTAACTGCCTCAATGCCATTGTTGTTGTTGTTGTTCGTGTTGTTGTTGGTGTAACTACTGCCACCGTTGAGGCTACTAATGGCATTGGCCACCGCTCCTCCGGATGTACCGCCCATCATTGGCGGCTGTGTGAGGGGCAGGGGCGGAGGCGGTGGCTGGTGCTTCATGGGTGCCACCGGTGAGGCATTGGAGCCGGGCGGCGTTGATGAAGACACATTGCCGCCGCCAAAGAGGCGACGTTGTTGCAGAAACGACGCCGTTGTGCCGCCTGTGTTGTGTTTTGAGTTGCAATTGGCAAGTTTGGTGCTGCAAGTTGTTGTTTCACTGTTGGCCAGTTGCTTACTGCAGCGGCAGAGGCATTTATTGTTTACTATTTGGGGGGGTTAAACGAAACGGGCTTAGTTTAATTTGACTTGACATAGTTAGTAGCTTGCGGCTGCAGGTGGCCATTGTTTACTATTTTAAGTCATGGCCTCTATTTTTGTTACGCTATTAAAGCTTTAATAATTCAATTTTTAAGCTTTTTTAATGCGGTGCAGGAATTTAGTTGCCAATTTTTCACCTAGGGGTTAAGTTAAACAGTTGTGCTTATCGGGATGGTGGAGCAAGAGAAGTAGTGAGAAGAGGGACTTGGGGGTCTATGCAAAACTAGAGAGAGAGAGAGAGGAGCTATTGCAGTTTACTGCAATATTGACTTTTTAGGGTTTCCACTCTATTTACACACAAACACACACACAGTAAAATGCAACGGAGAACTGCATGCATAAAGTGGAAAACTAACGGTGGCAAGCAGCTGCGTCACCTTGACCTACACAAATACGTTGGCAAGTGAGATGCACAAAATACATAGAAATATACACACAGGAATGCACAAATAGAAGAAATAAAAAAAACACAAAGCACGCACCCAAAATAATTGAATAAAAAAACAGCTCAGCAATAGGAATTAATTTACGCGCACTTTGTTATTAACTATTTCCGTTTGTTTTCTTTATTGTTTTGTTTATTTATTCAGGTTTTCGGTTTTGGTAGGAAAAGGAAAAGTAATTTCCTTTAAATCTGAATTATTCCATTAATAATCAATGATGTTGGCGGGTTATTGTTTTGTTTTTGAAAGATATTTCTTGATTTTTTAAAATATTATATTTTATGAGCGTGTTTTTTCAATTCTTCGAGTCGCAAGAAATTGGCTTTACAAAAAATTGGTACCTGCAAAAAATCTAGAGTATATTTTTTTTAATTCCTTCGGCTTTGGCCGATTTCCTTCGCGTTCACGATTCACTGTGGTCTATATCCAATTCACGGTGGCTATATCTGTACGTCGGGGCTGCCAATTTACAACTGAATCTGAATTTCAAGTTTCAAACGAACTGGTGCTGCCGTTGGATGAAATACAAATAAAAAGTTGGCAAGTCGGCTGTTTCTGAAGTGGTGTGACCAACGAAAAAAAAGGTTAAGAAATTGGAAAAGATTTCCAGTTATAAACATTTAAGAAATGGTTCAAGACATTGATTCCATTTGTTTATAAAAAATGTTATTAAAAATGTACATATTCTTCGATTTAAGTTACATTTTTATTTCTTTCATTTTAATTTTCACTTTAAATTGATTCGCAGAAAGTAATAGAGAATCATACTTTCTGAAAATGTTCATTAATGTTGAAATCCACCAAGTCTTTGCTTTAATTTTAGTTTATACTAATAACATTTTAGTTTTCATTCTGATAAGTTAGTTTGTTAGATATTTATCGATTTTAAAAGGATAACTAAATTGTTTTTTAATAGAAAATAATTATTAATTCAAATATAGTCTTTGGTTTTTTGACTTAACATCATTGTAAATATTTATTGCTAAGCGATCTTCAGATTAGTAATTTAAATTAAAAGAATATATTTATAGGCCTTATAAAATAATGTTTATAGTGCACATTTTCCTTATATTAAGTGTACTTTCCTGACACAGCTGACTGTTATGAAACCTGGGCGGGAAATTTAAATTTAGTTGACTATCAGAGGCTTGTAATATTTTTCCTATACATTTTATTATAAAACAAAAAACAATTAATTCAACACGTAAACTACTCAATCACTATTTTGATACAAAATCGACTAAAAGGTTTACAACATATTATAATAAATATTAATAATAATTATTCAAACCCAAGGGAGTACACGATGTACATAAAGGAAGGCCCTAAAGTTCTTTTTCAATTAATTTTTATTTTTATTAAGAAGATTTATGATTCAGAAGATTGTTTTTGTTTAATTTAAATATTAATATATGGATTTTAAATACAGCGTATAAGTTTTTAAAATATCTTAGCTTAGCTTAGCTTAACCACAGGAAGCTTTTACACTGGTCTTTCTACACTGCACGAAATAAGTTGCAGGTCACTGAACATAATGACATGGGCTTCCAGTTTAGTTTAGTTTACTTTTAGACTAATCCACAGGTGTTGGCATTACACAGTGACTTGATTATGTCCTGTATTTATTATATATTGTATTTTTGTATAAAAAAATCTGCTTTTCCCCAATTATTTTCCCGGATTTCGGCTTCGTTTGGCTTTATTTTTATTTTTTTGCTGATCCAGCTTTTTCTGCTTTGAAAGAAATGACATCGCTGCTGGGGGACTGCCTTGATGCGCGCCCCACTCATTCAGTCGCTTGATGTCGGACACGGCGGACGCGTTTTGAAACCAGCTCTGCGATAAAGTCGTTTTGTTTTTTTTATTGTTTGGGAACAGTTGTAAGCCAACAAATTAACTATCAACCAGAAAAAAGGTCCAACAAAACAGCACAAAATAAATAAATAACTAAAAACGAGTAGATGTAAATTTATCGCCAGTGTCGCGGGCGATTCTTTTCTTTTTTTGTTTAGTGACTATATTTATTTATTGTTTTTTTTTTTTTTTGCGCCCGCGTAGGCGTAAAGAGAAACTACCCAAAAAAAGCATAGAATTTGTTTTGTTTTCTATTTGTTTTTGACGTTTTTTCGTGTGAAATTGAAGCCCGGCAATGGCAACGGAACAATAAAAGTCTATTGAATATATTTTCTTTATGCAAATTTCCCATTGCAGAAGAGACAACGTTTGTAAATTCAAAATTGCCAAGGAAAGATTGCAGGAAATCACCAGGAAATCAGGTAAATACAGGCTGCTTTGGTTGTTTTTCCTGGGAAAGTTGAAGATCAAGGCCAGCCTGCTGGGTGGCTGCTTTGCCTCTCTGCCAAGGTGAAGGTCATTGCAGGCGAATGTCGGCGGGTTGCACTCGTTATTGTTGTTATATAAACATTTCACCCCACCACCATCACCATCATCCCGGGGACCCGGGAAAGTTGGCTCACTAACCCAGTAGTGCGCATGTCGCCTCCTTCGAAGGCCGTTGCCTGACCTCCAAGCACCGTCTTCCTCCCCCTCAAGGCCCAACGGCTGCGGTCACGGAAAATGCCATTTCCTGGCTGGGGTGACGGTGGGTTCTTTAAGTCGGGGAAATCTCTGGGTCAACTCTTTAAATTTTTGTAATATTCTCAAACAAAGAGTATATTTTCAAGGATATTTAAGTGGGTATGTGAGGGGATTTGAAGCCTCGAAGGTTGTTTAATAATAATAATAATAATTTAAAATTAATTATAATAATATACTTAATATTTCACGAATTTTAATTACTTTGGAGTACATTTTTGTGTAAAAGAACATTATTAGAAAGTAATAAAGTGTATTGTTATTTTCATTTAAAATTAAATTAAATGATTTTAAAGTACATTTTCTATTAAATGGATCTATTTATAACCCTAGAACCTTCTTTTTATATAAATATACATACTTCCTAGCAAGGAAGTTTGATAAGAAAAAATGGTTTATAAAACTTCTGAAAATAATAGTAAAACATTCTATAACTTCTTGGTAAGCTTTTATTAAATCGTTCATGAATTATTATCATTATTTTAATAATTATTATTATTTTAATGGCCATGGGTGTGCCCCGCCTAGCATTGAACTTGAAAGTGGCATTGGCTACTGTTGTGGCGGAGCAGCCTTTTGGCCAAGTGCGGGCTTTCGGTGCTGGCTCTTTGTCGCTAACAAGGTTAGTGGGTTAAATGGCCCGCTCTCGCTCCCTCTCCTGCCCACCCTGCTCCTCCCCCACCTCCACCTCCTGCTCCCTCTCTTTCTCTTTCGCTGAGCCCGGATTCGAGGAAACCCGTTAGTTTAGCATTAACCCGCCGATCGGCTTTGGCATTGCTCTGGCTATGGCTATGGGTATGGGTATGGCTTTGGCTATAACTCTGGCTTGGCTCTGGCCTGGCTCTTGCTCTTGCTCTGACCATTAAGAGCCACTTACACTCGCTCGCTTACTTTCCATGCTAATCAAAATGCCGATTCGGCCCAAAATAAGCGGGGCGCCTAATTGAAAGAAATTTGTTTGCCGCGACATGTCTGAGGGGGAACTCTTGTGTTTCAGGCTGTACAGCAAGAAAAAAAGTGGTGATAGTTAAAAGGGATTTTGGATATTATTTTATATATATGAAAATGAAAATCAAAATGTTTTCATAAATATTATAGGTATTTGGAACTATTCATTTCACTTATAGAGGAGACTACAACTTCTAAACCTCTAATATTTATATTGATTTCTTGTTTATATTCAGAGGGCGAGTCGCTCTAAACATGTTTCTATAATTTCTTAGATTTTGAGTTATCAGATTAAAATATGCTTAGTTTTGAAATGACTAGAAACGATATACAACTTTCTTTAGCTTTATTTTAGAAACGTCATAAAGCTTGACTTAGATAGACTCGATTCGTGGTAGAGATTATCCCCAACCAAGCTTTATTTTAGTATTTTTAAATTACTTTCCTTTATTTACCTTGCGTATTTTTCAATGAAATGAATTTATATTTCAAATTTCTTCAAGTGCTTAAGCTTTTAGTGGCTGTGCAACTTGCTATTTGCAACCTGCAAGCTTATGTTGCTTCTTGGAAGTGGCACAGCGGCGATGCAGGTGAAATTGAGATGAAGACAAGATCATGATAAACATTGCGATTTCTTATCAGGTTTGCACACAAAGCATTATGAAAAAACTTAATAGTATAATAGTAGCATTTAACGAAATAAAGATGGGGTTTTGTAGGGAAAAAATATATAGTGAGAGTTCATGAAATTGTAGGTATTAGCGATTTTTCTTGCTGATCAAATCTCCATTAAAAACAACTATATTTTATTAGAAATAAATACGCTTTTTAATGGAGAATCAGAATATATATTACTATTGCCAAATCTGTGGCGGATTTGACATATTAAGCAAATGAAAAGACGTACAAAATTCGCAAAATTAACGTTATTTTTATAGGCAACTTTTTGGACTAACCAAAGCTTAAGAAACCCATAACATAAAGATATTCTTGAATCATCTGAAACAAAAACCATTACGTTTTTTTGAGGGCAAACAGTAAATGCCCGACCCTTGTGACTCATTATCAACATTGTGTATTCAGTCTTTGGACCCCAAACAGTTCGATGACTTGCAGCGTGAATTGCATTTCGAGTGGCAAAGCTGACAAAAAAATATACATACGAAAAAAATGACAGACTGACAAACTGATGGATTGGCAGACGGAAAAATCGTGCGGGTTTACGACCAGTATAAGCCAAACCCCGGCACGATCCCCCAGCGATCCCCCAGCGATCCGATAATTGCGCCCAAAAGAGAGCGCACAAAAAACACGGGAAAATTGAAACTCTCGAAAAAGAAAAACAGCAACAGAAAAAAAAGAGTGGGGAAAAGACAAGCGTTAAATGAAAACCAAAACAAAGTCATTAAACGCAAAGTGCTGGAGAAAAAAACAAAACAAAACAATTAAAAGCGACAAAATAAAAGATGGAAAATTACCGAGAAATAATAGAGAAAAAAAGAGTTTACAGAGGTTTTTCATTTTCACTTTCACTGTTCCGGGGGCCCCCAAGGGGCAGAAGGTGTCAGGGTATGGGATCAGTGATATGTTGCGCTCTGATAACCCCCCAAAGAGCCAGACTCTGAGCCAGAGTTGGGATAGAAAGAGCGTTCTAAATAGTCGGTCACAACTCGTTGACTCCCAAATGAGTCATGGAAGTGACCCAAAAAACTAGGATGGCTCACTTTGGAACGATCTTGATCGGCTTAGTCATTTTTATATTAATTTTTTGCCTGTTTGAAATATATTTAAACTTGTTTGGTTAGGATATATGGTTTTGAGTATCAGATTTAGGAGTTTTCCCTTGGAATTCTGTATTTCCTTGAAGCTTCTTTAATTTGAGAGAGTTTCTAAAGGCTATGTCTATGTCTCTGTTCTGTTAAATCTCTTTCAATTCATTTAAATTTTATAAATAAAATTGAAATATGTATTAACATATGTAACAAAATCAAAACCCCATGTTTTTGTGCTGCTTTTATATTCAATATTGATATATAATATGTTTTTATAGGATAATAATGATATATACAGGGTAAATATACAAGTAGTAAAAAAACGTCATAAAATGCCAAGGATAGTCAAGCCAATGAATTTTTAAAAACCAATTTGAAGAGTTCTTACGCTCAATTTCGGTTACTTTTTAAATAAAACTTTGGATTTAAATTTTCAATTTGAAATGGGTAAAAAAAAACCTGGTTCTCTTACAACTTGGCATTATCCTTGATCCATTGCCTTAGCTGGGAGACCCTTTCATAGCCATCGGGAGCATCACGACCACAGCCTCCAATTACAAAGCTGGCCACGCCCACCAGCCTTCCCTCGTAGGTAGCCGGTCCACCGGAATCCCCATAGCAGGCACCCTTATTGGCATCATGAAGCAAACACATGGTAGTATCCGCCAGACGAGGCAAGTACCTCCGCCGACAGGTGTTCCTATCCATTTTCTTCACCTGTCCGTACAGCAAATCATTGGAAATGGGTCCACTGTTGGAGATGTATCCCCAGCCGGATATATAAACGCTGGCATCGGTGGGTGGATCCTCGCTGGATAGCTCAATGACCTTGGCATTGGCATTCAAGTTTATTGGCTGGGTCAGGCGGAGCACAGCCACATCATAGCCATCGCCCCTGTATTTGGGATGGACATGAACGGCGGCCACCTGTCGGGTCTCACCACCTCCGCCCGAGAGTTGCAGACTGCCCGCCAAAATGGACAATTGTCGGGCAGGAGCTCTGGGTGAAAATATGGGCAATTAACTTGAGAATCCCCTGAAGAAATCTCCCCCATTCTACTCACACATTATTGCCCGACTTGACACAATGGGCAGCGGTCAGGATGTAGGTGCTGGAGATGATGGATCCACCGCAAGTGTGGCCACCACGTCGACGCAACGAGATCTGATGGGGAAATTGTCCCGTGGTGGCCTTGGTTCCACCCACAATGCGAGGACTCCAGTCAGGTTCGGTCTTGTTAGGCTTGGCCAGGACACTGGCTATTCCCACAAAGAAAAGAAAGCTCCAGAGCAGCGACATGGCTTGTATGGATTGAGTTAAGTTCCTTGTGAGAAATGCTCACCGGCTTGCCCTATTTATGAGCAGCGAACTCATCATCATTAGTTCCTTGAGATGTCAAAGTCAATGTCGCGTTATCGATCCGAGAATTAACCTAATTTGGGTTCGTTTTGTATTATTTTTGTTGTTGTTGTTTATGGAAATGAAGCCCTTCTAATTGCCAGAAGCTTGGGGTCATTGTTTAGGGAACGGAAAGTGATTTAATTTGGTGAACAACTAGCCCTTTCCATAGGGATTCCCATAATGGAAATGCTTTCGAAGGGAAACTTGTATTATGAAACTTATCACTTGAAATTCTTTGCTGTTGCCTTTTTTTTTTTCTTTTGATATTGGGGGATTTCAAAGCCATAAAATTGGTCGCTGTACCTCTCCCCCTCGCCCATTGAGGTCATAAATAAACAAGTATTTCACGCATTTAGTGAGCGATTATTACGTTAACCAGGCACAGTATCGCCGATCCTTATCCTTATCTTCATTGACTCACACTGCAGAAAATAAATAAAACAGTCAAAGAACTACAAAGCATATATTACTATTTAATATATATTATTAAATATTTATTCACAAAAAAAAAAAACGATATAGACTCAAGCTAGCTGCTCCTGAATCCACTCAGAGAAGGGTGCAAGCTTCACAAAAACATTGGGGTACCGTGAACCGCAGGCACCCACCACAAAATTGGTCAAGCCAATCAGTTTGTCCTGGTAAACAGCTCCACTGCCACCATCACCATGACAGGTGCCCTCCTTGAGCTCATGGGACAAACAGAAGCTATCACCAGCCGGATCGCTGTATGCCTCCTGGCAGTCCGCCTCGGGGGACACTTGGAGTGCCAGCTCTCGGATCTTGTACGAGGTGGTGCCATCGGTGGTGCGACCCCAACCGGCTACACTAACCTCAGAGCCCGCGGCGGGCAGCGGATCATCACTGCCAGCCACCTCAATGGCCTTGATGCGATCAGTAAAGACCAAGGAAGAGCTGAGGGTGAGCATGACCAGGTTGTTCTGCAGTTGATAGTACTCCGGATGGACATTGACAGAGTCCACGGTGACAATGCGTCCGCCAGCGTACTGATTGGTGCTGCCCACGCGCAGGGAAAGACGGTTGGCGGCAAGACTGTTAAAGGGGATTAAATAGAACAAAATATATATCATATAGAAGATGTATCTTTCTATCTAGCTAGTAAGCTTAAACTATGATAGATTGAAGCATTAGTTTTAGTGGCTTCGAGTTATTGTTTCTTAGAGGCTGGAGCATAAAAGCTTTAAAAGGTTTTTAACATTTGATTACTGGTTACTCTAAGGTTGCGATAGGAAAAGGTTTAAGCTACTTAAACTACTATCAATTTAGCTCAGAATCTGATTATATCACTCATACGTCTAGTTGTACAGCCTTAAAAGCAAATATTGAGTATACGACATGTAGGACATGGCTTGACCTAAGTAAATAATAAGTTATTTACACCGAACTAGGACCTTTTAGAGTAGAAAATCCTATCATAATTAGTTCAAGGAAAACCCCTAGCTCTTTGAGGTGCTTCCTTGTATCCCTTTACACCCAATACTCACAGCTTGCCGTCGCGATGCACACAATGTGCCGTGGTCAGGACCTTTGTTTCGGAGAGAATGCAAGCACCGCACACATGGGCATTGTCCACACGCAGGGAGGCAGCGAAGGGCGTGGCATTCAGACCCGTCTCCTCACCGCCCATGATCCGGCCACCGGCCTGGACAGCGACCAGCAGGGTGAGACCCAGCAGGCCTAGAAGCAGTGGAGATCTCTGTTGCATATTTCCTTGGTTGTTCTACCCGCGACGGCAGTTGGACTTGAAATGCGGAACTACGAAACGCGAGTGGCGGTAATTTAAGTGGACGTGATGTCGGTGGTAGTGAAATCATTGGTGTATTTGACCAACAGTCCTTATCTTGGGCTTGGACATTGAGGTAAATCTAATCTTATCGTTTAAATTGGACGGCAAGCGGTTTTATACGCGTCGTTACTTGTTATTTCAACGATCAATTGGTACCTAAATAGAAATTGGCAAAATTGCATGAGAAGTGTAAGGGGGGTTCTGGAAGGAAGTGGAAGACACTAGCAATATCACCATCACCTAGATAAAGATGAGTAAGACGAGTGAGTCAGGGTAGAAAAGTGATTTGTACAAGAAAAAATCACCAAAATATATCATAAACTAAAGCCTTAATTACCTGGATTAATCTCATGAGTCCTTATTTAATTCTGCCTTGTGAAATCCTGTTTTCGATTCAGCTTAGCAACTAATTTATAGGAATTTCAAAAAAAAAAAATACATAAAATAGTATTCTCTTATCTTGCTTAATAGGAATTGCCCAAGATCTGTATCAATAGCCTGGCGATAAGCCATCGATTTAAGCCAAGTCACAATCTTTAGCCGCTTTATTATGGGTATTTTCTAATATCTATGCTTCCAAGAAATATTAATTGATAGTTATTCGATTACAAATCCTCCGGATTGGCCCTGGAACTTCCCAAGTTCTTAGCTTAATTTACGGCCCCATGTTAGATCATCAATAATCCTAATAAAATCGAAGGTTCCGAGGAAACTTTGATCGTTGATTGTGTGGCGCCCTATCGATTTTTATTTATGACCAGCACTAAATTCCCAATGGTCTATAGTTTCGATCATAAAATGGGCCAAGTCATTGCAGTCTCGGATTAATTAGAAACAAAAAAATAATTTCCTTTCTTTTTTTTGGAAGGGAACACATTTTATGCACATGAAAAAAATGTATAAAAAAATGTTGGGCTATCCTTTGGGGAACTGCAGGAACTTTTAGGGATATCAAGGGGTCTCCAGGGGATTCTAGGGACCAGTGACCTCCCACTGCTCTCCTTATTAGGCATTTGCCTTGATCCAATCCAGATAGTATGAGACGCGGGTGGTGATATCTGGGAAGGTGCTGCCACATTCTCCAAAGTGGAAGCTGGTGATGCCGCGCAGGACATTGCTGTCATCGACAACCGCTGCTCCGGCATCTCCACGGCAGATTCCCTCCTTCTCGGCACTGGACAGGCAGATCACATGCTCGTAGCCATAGCCGGCGGCCAGCTCACACCAGGGAGCACTCAGTGTGTTAAAGTTGGCCTTCTGCAGCTTGTACGAGGCATTGCCATCGGAGAGTTCTCCCCAACCGGCCACATACACTGGAGTGCCATTGGGCAGCTCCTCCTCGGTAGCCTCTGTCTCCTCACCAATAGAGGGCAAAGCAACGGCAGCAATGCGATCGCTATAGACCAGGTTCTGATCCAGGTTGAGAGTTGCCAGATTGTGGATGAAGTTGCCATAAGAGGGATGGATTACGATGCTCTTGACACTGACAATGCTGCCACCGGCATACTGGTTAATGCTGCCCACACGCACGGCCACAGAGCTGGGATCGATCCTGGGGAGGAATATAGTTTAGGAATGGAGTAGCTATATAAGGATAACTCCTGCCACACTTACGGCGTGGTGCTCACACTGGAGATACAGCTGGCGGCAGTTAGGATTTGATTTTGCGAAATGATGGCACCAGAGCAGGCATGAGCCTTGTTCACGCGCACGGAGACAGACCAGGGGAACTCACCCTGGGCGGCATCCTCACCGCCCAGGATGCGACCCTGGGGCGAGGCATAGGCAATGGCAAGCACTCCGCAGATTAGCAGGCCCAGAACGATGCGTGGATCAGCCATGGCGATTAATTGGCAACTGAACGAAGTACGTCGATCGATGGTGACCAGTGACTTGGCCTCTTGGCGATCTAATCGCCAATCGGTGGCAATATATACACCAAGATATATATACACTCGATTTATGACTGAACGAGTTGCGATTAGATTGCGTTTTAAACCCCCGATCGTAAAAGTTGGGAAGTTCTATAAATGCCGGCGCTGCGGTCTGAGAGCCTTTCAGTTGACATATCCATTTGCCGCGAAACATGAGTCCTTACCTGCTTGCCATTGTCCTGGTCCTGGTCCTGACCTTGGGCGGCTCTGTCGAGGGAAATCGAACACCGGCGGATGTGGGCTCCACGCCCTATACAATCTCTCTGCGTCGCAATGGAGTCCATGTGTGCGTTGGAGTTTTGATCACTGCCAAGTGGTCCCTAACAGCTGGACATTGTGTGAGCGTGGGAGGTGGACAGCAGAGGTAGAGACTCCATCTTCCTAAGAAATCATTTCTTATAGTATTTTCCTCTTTGAAAAACACCTAGCTATCCCCCTCCTCGTATACCATTCGAGCTGGAAGCATTCAGCGTCTGGCTGGTGGTCAGGTGCTACCTCTCTCCAAGATCGTCATCCACAACGATTACTCCAGTTCTGGGTCAGCAGGAGCCAATGACCTGGCCCTGTTGGAGCTGCAGACGCCGGTTACCCTGAATGCCAATACTCAAACCATTGATTTGGGCACAGCCAGGCCACCGGTTGGTGCTCAGGTTACCTTCTCGGGCTGGGGTTCCGCCAAACCGGATGGAGCCTTGAGTCATGGCCTGCAGGTGGCTACGCGTCAGGTGCTCAGTGCCAGCGAATGCCAGCAGGAGTTGTTCCTGGAGCAGGAGGATCTACTCTGCCTGAGCCCCGCCACGGAGGATGATCTCTCGGGACTCTGTACCGGCGATGCTGGTGCCCCCGCAGTTTACGAGAATCAACTGGTGGGCATTGCCTCATTCTTTGTCAGTGGTTGCGGTTCCGAACAGCCCGATGGCTATGTGGATGTGACCGAGCATCTGGAATGGATCATCATAAATTCCGAATAAATTAAACCAAATACGAAGAGAGCCTAGGTTTAAGATCTGACCTCCGTTTTGTTCTCAGACTAGTTTAGGTGGGGACATCTTATGTCTTGGGATATTCCAATTATTTCATTTATTAACACAATATAGCCGTGTGAAACAATGACTCTTAAAATTCAGTATCTGAGATTACTTAATCAGGAAACAGAATTAAACATTAAATATTGCTTATTGCTTAATGACTCAGTGAGGAGGGGCCCTTAACTAATCTTGAATGTGAGGATACCTCTTGAGAAAAGCAATTGAAAGGGATTTGTACTTCAATTTAAGAAGGTTTTTCCTGCTTTGATTTGCTCTTGAATCTTGACAATTGTCCTGGGTTCATCTGTAATTGAGATGGGAATAATATAGAAACCTTGGTTGCTTTATCTTCAATAGAACAAAGGGAAGATATTAATTGATAACAAGATAGATCGATTAAGAAAAGCTTAAGGACTTTGGAAAACCGATGTTTCATCATGAAAACCATTATAATTCGGCCAAAAATCCATTAATTTCCATTCCGAAAGCATTTATATGCTAGTTTTTAATGGGTTAACAAATCTGCATACTCAGTTTAAAATTTTTAAAAATTCAAATTTTTATCAATTTTTGAAAATTTTAACGATGTAACCCCTTATAAAATTTGGAAAAATTGGTAAATTTTTTTTTTCTGCAGGAGATGACCAAAAAGATTCCCCTGTTGATGCTGATCAAGAATATATATGATTTATGGGGTCGGAAATGACTCCTTCACTGGCTTGTAAGCTTCTGATTAAAATTAAAATACCCTGTTTGGGTATAAATATATAGATATTATATATAAGTATACCAAATACTATGGTAATATGTTATACATATAATTATTCTTGATATATTTTCATCTGAGCTCTCAAGAGTAAGCAGTAATTATTTTATGACTTTAGATTATAAAAAAAAAACCTAAAAAAGCAATAATACTACTCTCATTTCTGCTGTTGATTGACGTTTATATATAACCACATTAGTATTCCGATATGAAAATGATATTCCAAGCAACTCATATATAGATTTCAACTGATAATCAAAATGGTTCGCATTCATTCATTGAAAATGAGCTAATCATGGATTTTGAGTAAAACGTTTACCCAAAAGTTCCTAAAAACTTCAGTATTTAACTAAATATATATTTTATATTCTGTGTGTATAAAAGCCATACAGATCATATATATTTACTCCATTACCGGAAAACCCAAAAGAAACCTTAACAAAATAACCAAAACTCCTTAAAATCTTGCTTTCGTCTTGAACTATAATTTATTGGATTTGCTGCTGGATCCAATCGTAGTTGGACGCAATGCTCACAAATCTCTCTGGCAGCATGCCACCGCACTCGCCAAGCATCTGGGCACCCAGACCCACCAGTTCTTCGCCGTAGACAGCGGGTCCTCCCATGTCTCCAGCGCAGATACCTTGACGACGTCCATGACCCAGGCACAGCACCTGGTCATTGATCTCCGGTACTGATTCGTTCTTGCCCAGGGCACACTCACGTGGAGCCATCACCTCGGCCTCACCGATCTGCAGGGTGCGATGCATATCCACTTCCGTTTCGGTGGTGCGACCCCAGCCAGAGACCTCCACATGGGCGCCTAGAGGTGGTGTGTTCCGTGCCAGGGGAATGGCAGCCACAGCCTCATTGAAGATCACATCCTGCTCCAGACGGAGCAAAGCAATGCCGGTCTTCAGGGTATTATAGTTGGGATTAATGGTGATTTCCTCCACGCGAATACGCTGGCCGCCAGAATACAGATCCACGGAGCCCACGGAGACCATGAACAAAGTGGCAGGCCATCTTGAAAGGAGGAGGAGGTTGTCAGCAATATAAAGAAGACATCAAAGAAATCTATACTCACGGCTTATCCTTGCCATCCGAGCAGACACAGGTGAGGGCGGTGAGGGCATACCGCTTGGCAATGAGAACAGCGCCACAGTTGTAGCTGCCACCAATGGAGAGGGCTCCCTGGTAGGGCAGCTGTCCAACGACGGCATCATCGCCTCCAGCAATCCTGCCCTGCGGCTGGGCCAATGTACTGCCGGCGGCAACGAGGATAAGTCCTAGGGCGGCAATTGTTAGCTTCATCATGGATGATGTTTCGTTTCCTTGTGATGCCTCCACTGGCCATGGCGTGAGTTTTTATAGGGTCGTAACATCTACCCCCTCCTCGGGGGACTATCTTATCGGGACACAGAGAGTGTGTGTGGCAGATAATGGCAGATAGATAGAGGTGGCCCATCCGGTGGACAGCTAGGCCCCTTCTGATTAGACAAGCCTTCGTCGTCGCCTTGGGGGGCAGGGTATCTCTGCTGATCGAATTCAGGGGAATCTATATTCTATATTGTATATATTTCTATATACCATATTTTATATTCGATTCAAATATACCCATCCTGGCTGGCAACGACCTCTGATCGTTGGATGACTACGATGATGAATTGTGGTCAGTGAGGAGGATGGGGGGAATAATCCAGGGCGACAGCGAACACGTTTGCGGCGGCATGCCACGGGGGCAACGATCGCAGATCAAGATCTGCACGTAGACAAGCTCATCATCTCCGAACCCATCTCCTCGCGATTCGCGATTCGATTTGGAGCCAAACTGGCAGCCGGTGGCCCAACCAGTTGTCTCTCATTTCGAACCACATTTCGCACCACAGCCAGAGAGCCAGCCTTGTGACTTAAATGGTCTGCCCGTTGGCCAGATTTGTCCATTCGCAGACTAGCCGCCAACCGACCATGATCTTGCGGACAACAACATCACTCCATGCTGGCCACTGGCTGCTTCAGCTTCAGCTACAGCTCCTTCTCCTAATCCTTTTGCTGCCGGCCATCTCGATGGCCAAGACAGTAAATCCCAGTGCCGGTGGTGGTGACCCGCTGCAAATCCAAATCCAGCCGGAAAGGGGATTGCCAGAGCCTAGGGCATATATGCCAGATGCTCAGCATTTGGATTTTGTCTACCATGATCACGAGGAGCTGACGAGGTTTCTAAGGTAAGATTTTGATATGAAATATTATTTAATTATTAATCAATCTCCGTTGTTATCCCTTTTGTAGAGCCACCAGTGCCCGGTATCCCAATCTCACTGCCCTGTACTCCATTGGCAAGTCCATCCAGGGCAGGGATCTTTGGGTTATGGTGGTCAGCTCGTCACCATATGAGCATATGGTGGGCAAGCCGGATGTGAAATATGTGGGCAATATTCATGGCAATGAGCCCGTGGGCCGGGAGATGCTTCTCCATCTCATCCAGTACTTTGTGACTAGCTATAGCTCCGATCAGTATGTCAAGTGGCTGCTGGATAATACACGGATTCACATATTGCCCACCATGAATCCGGATGGTTATGCGGTATCCAAGGAGGGTACCTGTGATGGCGGTCAGGGCAGGTAAGAAGGGTTTTCGTACTTTGAACGAGTGTCTACCTAAAGTTTCTTTCTTTCTAGATATAATGCCCGTGGCTTCGATCTAAATCGGAACTTCCCCGACTACTTCAAGCAGAATAATAAGCGTGGTCAGCCGGAAACGGATGCAGTGAAGGATTGGATATCCAAGATCCAGTTTGTGCTGAGCGGGAGTCTTCATGGTGGTGCTTTGGTGGCCAGTTATCCCTACGACAATACGCCCAACTCCAGTAAGTAGTCTAGGGAGTATCTTTCGTGAAACCGAGCCTTATAGTTATGTCCGTCTGCTTATTATCATATGTATATAAATTCAAAATGCTAACCAGTATCAAATTTATGCGTAACTGATACCAGAAATTATGGTTGGTCACAACCGAAATTTTGTTAGGAAGCACATTATGATTCCAAGGGGAAGATAATTCCCGCTGGTATCAGCAGTTCCTTACAAAGTCCAGTGATAACTATTGATTTCTGGTTTATAAACGGGGGTCTCAGTAAGCCAAAATCTTTGTGAATGAATCGAAATTTCTAAGAAGATAAGTTCTGCAAGCTTTTTTGCAAAAGTATTATAATGTTAGTCAAAAGCTTTTAAAATTGTGAAGGAGTCATTTCCGATCCCACAAATTATATATATTCTTGATCAGCATCAACAGGATAATCGATCTAGGCATGTCCGGAATAATACAAAATAATTTCAAAAATTTTCAATTTTTTTTTTTCGTTAAAATGTTCGAAAATTGATAAAAATTTAAATTTTCTAAAATTTTAAATTCAGTATGCAGATTTAATAAACTAACAAAAACTAGCAGAGAAAAGCTTTCCGAATTAAAATTAATGCATTTTTGCCTTAGTTATGCGATTTTTAAATTTTGATTTGTCGAAAAAATTGTCATATAAAAAATGGATAAATATCGATTGAAAGAATGCAAATGCAATCTTAATTTTTCATACGATCCTATAATTCATTTGTAAACTGCAAATATATATTCATTTCGGATTTCCGAAGTTAATTTCCAGCTTCAGATAAAAAGATACTAGAAAGGTACTAATGAACACAGAATAGCTTCTCGTGAGATGTAATAAAACGGGAATCTAATCATTGTATTAAAACCGTGCTAAATGCTAAAGTAGATTGGGGTTAGCTCTTTTAGAGAGCCAGAGCCCTTAAGCCTTACTCTTTACTTCGGTTCCCCGAAGCCATACCCACTTTCTCCTAGTCCTCCTTCTCCTTCCAATTCTTCTCCTCTCACCTCTCTCTTCTCCCCCTCCTCCTCCTCCTCCTTTTCATCCTCCCCTCTCCATATCCGGCTCAAGTGCCGATTGATAAAGCTTTTGCTTCTATACTCTCCCACCAATATGGCTGCTCAAAGGGATCTGCCGTTCGTCCGCCCTGTGCGCGAGTGAGTCCGCGTGAGTCCCTTGGAACGCCCCATCTAATCGTGTTGCTTCTCTTCTTCCTCCTCCTCCTCCTCCTCCTCATCTTCGCCTCCAACATGTCCCCTGGGCGCAGTGTTCCAGACCTACTCGGCGGCGCCGTCCCTAACGCCCGACGATGATGTGTTCAAGCATTTGTCCCTGGTCTATGCCCGCAATCATGCCAAGATGTCCCGTGGTGTGGCCTGCAAGTCGGCAACGCCGGCCTTTGAGAATGGCATTACAAATGGAGCAGCCTGGTATCCACTGACTGGCGGGATGCAGGACTATAACTATGTGTGGTATGGCTGCATGGAGATTACCCTGGAGATATCCTGCTGCAAGTATCCGCCTGCCTATGAGCTCAAGAAGTACTGGGAGGATAATCAGCTGGTGAGGAAACTCGGATTTGTAATGTATACTCCTGGGTAACCTTTTTCTATCCAGTCAATGATCAAATTCCTTGCCGAGGCCCATCGGGGAGTCCAGGGTTTCGTTTTCGATCCCGCGGGCATGCCCATTGAGAGGGCCTCCATCAAGATTAAGGGTCGCGATGTGGGCTTCCAGACAACCAAGTACGGTGAGTTCTGGCGTATCCTGCTACCGGGCTACTACAAAGTAGAGGTGAGTATGGATTAGCATATTATACTATATATCTAGGCAATACTTTTTGATTCTGTTTTAGGTATTTGCCGAAGGCTTTGCCCCCCGTGAGGTGGAATTTGTGATTGTGGAGCAGCATCCCACTTTGCTAAATGTGACGCTGCAGCCCTCGAAGGTATATTGAATGACTCCTTGGATCCTCTTCCTTTTGCGGGAACCCCTGGTGCTGGCTAACAATCTTTTAATTTTTAATTTTAATCATAAACAAGCAGTACCTGGTGGCAGGTTCATCCTCTACCACACAGGCCTCTTCAGGGACGCGGCGCGTGAATGGCAAGCTGCAGTTGGCCATCGATTAGGTCCAAGAGTCATTCCAAGGAGCCTCAGCCGATCGAGAGAGCGTCGAGGGTGGCGTGTAAATACTAGCTGAAGTGCTTTAATTCCTGACTAACCTCATCTAAATAATCTTACCTAGCTATATATCCCACTCGTTTTATTTTATGGTTTTGTGTTGTAGATTTCCTCTTAACCAATTTCTCAATTCTTTTCTGAGTTTCTTTATGACATACTTTTCAACTTTCCTCTTAAATTTGTTTCACAGTTTCTTCCTCATTTCCCCCTTTTAAATCCCCCTCCAACTTTTGGTACAAGGACCTTTCCTGGTGCAAGGTTTCCTCCTTACTCCTTAATTTAAGTGTTGTTTGTTGTTAATAATGGTAAAATGTAAAAGAAAACCCAAAGATGTATTAAAAATTTTGATGACACCTGTTAACCTGCATTTCACAGCGCATTGAGAGCATCGGCGGTGCCATGGGTCCGGCCGGAGTTGGTGTTGGAATCGGGCCTGGACTCGGTGTGAGTCCTGGCGGAATTTATCGACCCATTCAGGCGCCGCAACACTATCGTCCGCCAGGACCAGGACCGTATGCGGGTGCCGCCTCCAGCGACAATGGAATCTTCTCGACCATCAGCAATGGGCTCAACAGCCTCTACTCGAATATATTCGGTTAAGGACTAAGGACTTGAGGACTTGAGGACTTTTTTGTTTACTTTTAAGTGTGTTTAGACTAAGACTCATCGTCGTACTATTTATTGGGGTCTCGCAAATTCCCTCGAATAAAGCCTTCAATCAGTGCAAACTAGGGGGATTCCGAGAACTCATCCGAGGTGGCTAGGAGTTCTACCTTCAAGCGTGTCGGTTTTCAATTCTCATTTCAGAGACAGAGCTTACACAGATATATCGGGGAAATAAAGTCGGCGTGGTAATTTTCATATGCTAAACATCTCAATTGAAGACGTCAAAGCAAAGCCTTTCCCTTCTAAGTATTTTTTTATTGTTCATTTTTTCTTTGGGGCAAGCTCTCGACAAAATTCAATTCAAAATCAGTTTAATTTCGTTCTCTCTACCTACGAATCTACAATCGCAAAGAAAACAAAGAAACGCACAGAAAACGAAGACTTCATGAGCAGATCAAAAGATATAGAAGGCGCGGAGTAAGCATCGTATCAAAGAAAAGTGATTAAGTTATAGAGAAGATGCATTACCCGGACTTGAACAACTACTGTTTCTCGGAACATGGCGGTCCAGGTAGTAACTTGGAGTTCCGGGTAAGTACTGCCTGCTCCTTGAAAAGAACGGAGGTTCTTTGCTGAGGAAAATCCTTTTGGGTAAATGCTCCTTGTGGAAGATGAATCCTTGTGAAAGAAGGTTATATTTTCCAAGAGGTTTCGTTTAGGAGATTCCCTTTTAGCGACAGTTCTTGAAAAGAGGTATCTTTTGGCAAGGGGGCTGTTTTTGGAAACTTCTTCCTTTTGCTTTTAAAATAAGGTTCCTTTTGAAAGAAAGTTTCTTTTGGATTGATGTGAATGTTGCTTCTTTATGGAAGATATTTCCTTTTGGATAGATGTTCCTCGTGGAAAATGGTTACTTCCGGAAGAAGGTTCTATTTGCCAGGAGGTTTCTTCTAGAAGTTTTCATTTGTTTGGGAGTTGTTTTTGGAAAAATATTTCTTTTGAAAAGTATCTTTTAGGTTCATTTTGGTAGAGGGTTTCTTTTCTGTTTTTTTTTTTTTTAGAAGGATGTACCTTTTGAAACTGTTTCTTTGTAAAGGGAGCTTTGTTACAAGGAGATTTCTCTTTAAAGTAGCTTCCTTTTGGAAAGATGTCTTCACAAACGAAACATCTTTTCGACTGAAAGTTCCTTTTAGAAGGAGGCTTCTTCTGGAACGCTCCTTTTAGTAGGTTTCTTTTGCAATAATTTGCCTTATCCTTTACTTTAATGGGTATTTTCCACCCCATTCCCATAGTTTACTGGGCCAGGATCCATATCGAATGCCGTGCATCAATACAATGTCATGCGTGCCGCCGAGCTGGCCGAAGCGAAGCGTCAAAAGCAGCGTCCAATCCTCTATCCGGTCTTCTGCAAAGTGCGCAGTCATGTCAGCGATGTGACCAGCATGGTCACATCCCGGGACGTAGATGTGGTCACCCAGTTGTCCCTCGATTCGGACACGACGATCACCAACGATTATGATGATGAAGATGACTATTCCAATGATGGCCTCAAGTGCGGAATGGGCGATGCAGTGCGTCTTTGCGGCGGCGCAGAATCAAACACAAAAGCCAAAGGTAAAGGCAAAGGGAAAGGCAGAGGCAAGAACAAATCCAAGACCAGGAAAGTGAAAAGTCCGGCTAAGAGCTCAAAGAAAGACCAACAACCGAATCAACAACTCATGTGTCCAGATCCTGAGCCGCACGGCGACTGTTTGGATAAGCTGAAGAATCTGCATCTCGAGGTTTGCGCAGAGTTGCAGACCCTGGTGGCGGAAGAGGAGGGCAAGAAGCCAAGTCCTCCATCTAGCCCAAGGGCCAAGAAGGTGTTCAAGAAGATAAAAAGACAGAACACAAAGCGGCAGGAAGGTGGCGAGCACCAGAAGAAGGCCCAGAACCAGGAACTTTCGCCGAGAGCCGGGGAACAAGTCTGCTACGAGGATTACTATCTGCCACAGCCCAAGTGGGTGGACATCATGCCCTCGGCCATGATGTCGCAGGGCATCAAGGTGAATGTGTGCACCTGCCCGGCAGCCACTCCTCAGTCCGTCTACAAGTTCATGCAGCAATATGGCGGCATGGTGCCGGAATCCCTGACTCCCTTCTTCCATGAGGACAGCGATCTGGATCATGAGTTTGCCGATCGCAAGGGCTATCTCCGCTACGTGGAGCCCCGTTCCCAGATCGTTGACAAAGACTGCAACGATCAAGTTCCGAAAAAAATCAACAACCACGGATCGGTCGTGGATCCCTTCTTCGTGGAGCTGGAGAAGCGACCGCAAAAGGTCAGCTTGCTGAGGAGCCTCTCACCCATGCGTTACACTTCTCAGTGCTCCGAACTGACCCTAAAGCCAGCTCTGATTGCATCTCCATCGGGAGCTGTGGAGGCAGAGGTAAAAGTGCCCGCAGAGGCAGAGGTTAAAGTTCCGCCATTGGAACTGCACTCAAAGAAGAGGCGGCCAAAGAAAGTAAAGGTTGAAGGATCCGCCACAGCAAGATCTAAGCAAGGGCCCAAGTCGCATGGCACTAAGGACCGCCTGCCGGCAGGATCACAGCCGGAAAAGAAGGCACCACTCAAACCCAAAGAAGCGGTATCTGCAACAACTCTAATACCGTCATCATTGGCAACAGCCCCGGCACAGGTAACCACGCCGAAACGCCAACAGAAGCGACGCAAGCATAATTCCATAGTTATATATAGCAAGTCTCTGGAAGATCTCAAGGCGGAGAAGATGAGGATCTATAATAAGATCTCCTTCACCCATGAGCGGATCATCGGGGCCGTGGACAGGCTGCAGCTTAGCCTGCTGCAGTTGCCGCCTGCACGGGAGCGTAGTGTTCCGGAGCAGGAAAGGCTCCAGCGCAATGCCTTTGAATTTTGTGTCCGTTTTTCCCGGAATTTCCTATATCCACTCAAGGGAATGATCGATGATGTACGTCTCACCCCGGAGGCGAATTTCAGCAGTGCCATCTCCAATGAGGCCTGCCACCGTGTGATGTGTGTCTATGGCCTGATGCTGCAGTCCCTCATTAACTATCAGCGCCAGTTGCGCTTCTTCCTGCTGGAGAAAGTGGCTCAGAAGCTGAGCGCCCTTATTGAGATGATCTACACAATGACCAACTGCTGTCTGGACAAGAGCATATTGGCACGCCACGATCCGGTTGTGGAGAGCCTGCTGGAGCGTTGCACCCGCTTCCTAAGCTTCATCGAGGACATGCAGGCGGAGCGCATTAAGCTGGCCCGCGAGACGGAGCGGCGTAGCAAGATCCAATCGTTGCAGCATGTTTCGGGTTCCAGCCGCTTGAAATCCCCTCGACTGGGTTTAGCCCATTCCCGACACCCGAAGCAGGAGAAGCAGCGCTCTCATGAGCGTTATGATCTCAAGATGTGCCTCAACGATTCCAAGGTCTATGAGCCGCGTGTGGTGCCCAAAGAGCGACCAAAAACATATGAGAAAGTCTCTCGTCGACGTAGGAGGAATCCCCAAGTGATTGCAACTTCGGTGGCTGAACCGCCCATTGAGCTGCCATCCATCAAAGAGGATGTCCGCACCCAGATGCAAATCCAGGCAGCCAATGGCGCCGGCGACACCACTAGTTCCATGAGTGTGGCCACGACCGAGAGCCATGGAAATGGACTCCGCTCCAGGGGAGTGTCCCCGCTACGCGAGGCCATGCTGGAGGCTGTGCGTCGGGCCACCCGGGCGCAGCTCCAGGAGGTCCTGGATCCCATGATGCGTTCGCTGAGGGCCCTGGAAAACGAGAAGATGCCCAAGATGGGCGACCAGACACAGACCACAAAAAAGTAGCACTTTCCTTTGTTCAAATTGGAGGATGAGAGGACAGCCCATTGCAGGCTGGTATTCTTCGACCCAATAATTGACCCTCTGCCTCCTTGACCCACATTATCCCCAATCATTTGAACGCAATCAAGCCTAAATTGTCAAGTATCGATAGTATGCAACGAGTAAATGCACTTTTTTGGAAGATAAAGAGGCGGATGTTTTGTTTCATTGGGGGTTTAAGGGGGAATTTTGGTAGAAAATTTATAAAACAAGGAAATTTCTATATCCTTTCAGGGTAAATCCATCATAACTAAGTCAAAAATGCGTTATTTTTAAATCGGAAAGCAGTCCCTTGCTAGTTTTTATTAGGTTACCAAATCTGCATACTCAGTTTAAAATTTTGAAAAATTAAAATTTTTATCATTTTTGTACATTTTGACGATGTAACCCCTTATAAAATTTAAAAAAAAATTGAAAATTTTTTTCTTGCCAGGTAAGGCTAAAAAGAATCGCCTGTTGATGCTGATCAGGAATATATATGATTCATAGGGTCGGAAATGATTACTTCACTAAGTTTTTAGCTTCTGACTGAAATTTTAATACCCTTCCTTGCAGGGTATAAAAGGGGGTCTGGCAAACGTGTGTCTCTATATATGGAAAGCTTACATTAATGTTTAATGTTATGTCAGCTAATTTCTTGAGAGCTAACAATTTAAAAAAAGAGTGTTATGTATAAGTTTTACATATTTTTAAGACCTTGGTCAAATTTATTTCTAAAGTCTGTATTTATTTATGTATTATTTGTTTATTATTATTATTATAATTTATTTACTATTTTTGTATTTTATCATTTCAGTCAGAAGCTTACCATGCGATGAATGCAATGGAGTTTATTCTGAGCCTATATATCATATACATATGTGTAAAGGCCGATTCAAAATAGCTAAGTATGTCCGCAAAAATACAACAAATTACCAATTTTTTCTACATTTTCAAATCGTCGAAAATCCTACAAAATATTTAATTTTTATGCCCTTTCAGAGTGTATTATTATTTTTAGACAGTGAAGGACTCATTTCCGACCCTATAAACCATATATATTCTTATTCAGCATTAACAGGCGAATCTTTCTATGCATGTATTAAAGAAACAAATTTTTGACAATTTTTTTCAAAATTTTATAAGGGGTTACATCGTTAAAATTTTCAAAAATTTGAAAAAATTCCAATTTATCTAAATGTAAAATACAGTATGCAGATTTGTTAACTGTCTAAAAACTAACACAAAACAGTTTTCTGAATTAAAATTAATGCTTTTTCGACTTAGTTATGATATTTTTTAATTTAGACTTGTCCACAGAAATCTCATATAAGAATTAACTTTAATGATATGATACTGATAATACTTGGGATATGGATAAGGCTTCATATATTATTTAAGCCTCTAAGAAGAAACCCCTGTCAAGATTCTAAGAATTCTCGTAAGACTAGTCTCCCAATTATAATCCATATTTTCTTTTATATATTTTTTTAATTAGTTTATTTTGTAGGAGATATCAACAATGGTTCAAGGGATTACTTGTATTTATATATTTCAATTATCAGATACTTTGTGCAGAACGAGGTCAAAAGTCGCGTATCGAGAATAGAGAATCGAGAATTGGAGAATCGGGAGAGAGACAGATATGTTGCTGGGGTTGGGGGGAAGAGGTGTGGGAGAAAGATTGGGTGAGACAGCAAAATGCATAGTGCATATCGGCTAAGTAGAAATACAATTAATTTAAGCATTAACAACATCCAATCCCCCCTTGCCGTTCAGCTCCATCGCATGTGAATGCATTTTCCATGTTCCATGTCCATCCGAATTTTCTTCATTCTCTCTCCAAGATTTTTTCTTTTAGAATTTTCCTTTCATTTAAAGCTTTTTTGAGTGGACTGTGGGCTGGGGAAAATCTACGAGACCTTGAGTCCGTCTGTGTGCCGTTCTGTTTTTGCGTCCTACTCTCGCGTATTGCTCAACAAATTATGATTACTACAAATACCATAATAATAGATAAAATATACATTTAGATATCGATGCGAACGGGGGTTGGGTCGTAGGTCAACCCCTATTCGGCGCAGGATGTGCACATCGGCTTGTTCTCCTCCACGGCAAAGGTGCTGGCCGTAATGGGAGTGGCGCATTTCTATGGGAAAACGGTGTTAAATAGAGGAGTTGAAAGGGGAAATAATTCTATATAGACCCACCTTGCACTTGAAGCATTCACGATGCCACTTGGCATTGAGGGCCACAATGGCATTCTCCGTAATTGGCTGACTGCAGCCGGCACAGCGGGCGGCAAAGAGTTGCTCAAAGTCCACGCGGCAGTAGGGATGTCCATCACGCTCATAAAAGGAGGTGCCCACCAGTGGCTTCTTGCAGGGACCATTGCAGACGAAGCACTCCTCGTGCCAGGACTTCTCCATGGCCTTGATGGTGCGCTGAGAAGCAGGGGAAAATAATAGAATTTTAGTATATAATGTGAAAAATATGTAACCTTTATTAAATAACCATTTTTATGATCATAATCAAAGCCAATCAATGGCGCACACACCTACTGATGACACTGACCTTGACGCTAAATCATAAAGCAAATGAGCAAGTAATATGCTTTTAAACATTAAGAAATAAAGCCTTAAGATTTAAGTAAGTAACTCAGGTAACCTTCAATTATTGTATTATTTGTTGGAAATTACCAGAAATAGAACTAACATGAATTAATCTTCAAAAACTATTCCCATATTATTCATCTTTATTCATTATTAAAATACAACTTTGATTACCTTCAAGAGAGCTTAAAAACCAAATTTTTAGGTACTATTAAAATGTGATTCCAAAAAATTATAGGTATTTCTAAAGATTTTAATGGGGTTTCCAAATGATTTAGCAGGAATGCTTACTATGAGTAATTTCGACCATATATTCTTAGCTCTGATTTTTTCAGTGCAAAAAACCACCCTCTGATCTAAAAATAAAGTTTCGCAATCACTTCCTTAATTAAATCGCACTAAGCGTATATACGCACCGATATCTGAGCGGACTTATGGCGCAGTGGGGCGCCTTCTAGGTAAATGTTGACAGTATTTATTACCTAACAACGATGCTCGTAAAGCGTTTGAGTTTATGGCAAACAGACGATGCGAATTTTTGCAACCGAATGGGATAAAGAGTGCCTAGAAGCACTGTATGTTTTTGGAAATTTAAAAAATCTTATAGTAATTGAAAATAAGAGGAATATAACCATAGAAATTGAAATAAATGAGATAAGCTATAGGAGAAGACACAGAAGTTGCTAAACATATTTGTGGCAATCTTTGGAAGTTTAAAATTTGCTCGAGATTGCTCAAAAATATGTATCCTTCAACTTCCCTCTAAATTACTTTATTTAAAGAAAAATAGCACTTTAATCCTTACTCCCCGTACTTTTTAACTCAAACTATGGAATAAGAACCCAATCCTAGTTAATATCCAATAGTTTAAGGATGACTCACCTCCAGAATGGGCTTCTTGCAACCAAAGCAGGTTCCTGAGTAATTCTTTACGAAACAATCGGTGCAGACCGGCTCATCATTTTGAATATTGAAGGTGGACTCGGTAATGGGACGCTGGCAATCCTTGCAGGCAAAGTGCTCCGGATGCCAGGTCTTCCCCAGAGCCGTAATGATGCGCTGGTGGATGACTTCATTGCACTTGTGACAGATGGTCTCCGACTCCGACTGAAAGCAAAAGGAATATAGATTAAATATATCGCTTAATATGTATGGAAAACACGTACATAAAATAGCCCCTAGAATACACCATAATAATTCTCTCTGCCTCTGGTTTTGGATTTTTCCCGGGGGCGGCTGTCTGGCTCAGAGATCCAAAGACTCACAGAGATTCATCTCTCTGAGTCAGTCACAGTCACAGTTCGGGTTCAGAAACCGCAGAGGCATATGCTGACGCGATTTTACGTAATTCAAAACCAAATGAAATGCCAAAGGCCTTAGCACAAAGAATATATCCATATATATATGTATATATAAGAATATATGTATATGCATATCAAAATATATAAACATATACACGTAATTGCCATGGCAAATGATGAGCATCAGCGTAAAATTATTTACAGAGCAGCAGAAGCAGCAGCAATAACATTAGCAATATTATATAATAATTAGCTAAAGATGATGATACTTTGTTTGCTTTAAAATAACAAATTATACATTGCAAGAAAAGATTTTGGTAATTTCAAAATGTTAGAACAAATACCTAAGAAGAAGTAATTCATTTTAAGGAATATATATTAGAGGAAGAAAGCCTAGATTTTTTCCTAGGGAAATGAGATACTTAAACTGTAGTAAAGTAAAATTGTTTTTACTAGAGTCGTCTCTCGGAAAAACAACCTCTATGCAGTGGCTGAATAGTATGCAACATTTTGCAAACTTAGAAAGGAATTTGAATAAATTTCTATGCCTTTATGGCAAATATATCCAAGTAACCTTACCAATAATTGGTAGACATTATCACCAAGATTAGACAGTCCTTTTTGGGCAGCAATTGCACAAATCCTCATTTGGCTTATACACTATTAACTCTTAACCTTTGGTAGTTATTACTTATCCAGCACGTTGGGCCCATTAACACCTGCTGGCCACCCAGGCAGTGAGGTAAGCCAACCATTTTCAGACATAGGAGGAGAGGCCAGAGGACAAATGGCTTATAAAAATGCAACAAGAGGCGGCCATAAATATTGAATGGGAATAAAGTGAAATATCCGCGAATTGCAACCGACAGCTGACAGCCTGTGCTCGCGCCTCTCGGGTTTATTTACGCCCCACAAATGTATGGAGTGTGCGGGTGTGGTGTGTGTGGTCTGTGGAGCGGCAATTTTCTCATTTCCCAAAATTTTGCCTGAAAATTAAACGCACATTAAGTTTCCCGTGCATATAGCCTCTTGAGGGGGATTTTTTGTTCCCCCTTGTTTAAAGTTTCGCGCCAGATGTAGCAGTAGGAACAGCAACAACAACAGCATTCATTTCTTTTTGCATTAGACGACGTCTCACTTAGATCATCGCTTGACTTAGAATCAAATTAAACAGGCACGCACAGGGGCAGTAGGGGGATCAGGAGGGGGAGTGGCACTTTCAGGGGGCCAAGGGCGCACACACACTTCAAATGAGTTTTGCTTGAATATTTGTTTGTGTGCGAGTGTCGGGAAAAGCAATAACAAAAGGCCACAACAGCCAGGGAATACAAACAACAAAAAAAAAAACAAATAATAACAAAAATCCAAAAAAAACCAAATTAAACTTAATTTTTCAACGCTTAATGGGCAGCAAACAAACAAACAAAATAAAACAAGAAGCGAGTGTAGATAGCAGCCGAAATAATGCCCTTCCGATATTGGGAAAAGTTGTAGGCATACGTAAGTAATTGGTAAGATATTTATTAAAATATATAAATGATATAATAATTTTTATAATAATATATTTAATAGTATATGTCTTAATATATTAATTTGCCTGAAGGTTGTTTTTAGCTAGAAACTTAAAGTATCCCTATTTTCATTTAATTCAACAGATTCCCTTGAAATCCGATTAATGGGCATATCTAATCTAATTATATTATCTGGAAAACAGGAAGAACCAAGGATTAGGGGTAAGTTTTACTTGAAAATAGTATATACATATATGTCAGAAGATTCCAGAAGATTCACATTGTGATCTGCAATAAATCCCCTGTTTTGGATATTATACCTTCAGTCAGAAGCTTGAAAATAAGTGAAGGAATCATTTCCGACCCTATAAATCATATATATTCTTGATCAGCATGAAAGTGAAAATTAAGTGAAATTTGAAGTAATTTTCCAAAATAACATCATCATATATGCATGTATATTCTATGAGACCTTTTCTCTCCGACAAAAGTTCTAATTCAAAAGTAAATCAAAAACTAAAGCCTGATCAAAATCCAAGTTATGTGTTAACTTGGCATTCCGCTTTTGGCACTCTTAACCCCACAGTTTGGCCCACTTAACCCACTGTGTCTCTCTGTAGGTTTGGAAATCAGCTTGAATTGCATTTATTATATTTTTTTTTACGTCAACGACATATTCTGTTGACTGTCGATTTGCATTTCTTATCTGTTAATTGCGGCATTATTTCAGTTTTCCGACAAGAACAACAACAGTAACAATAAATACAATAAAAAAAGGCACAAAAGCAGTATAAAAAAAGTCTGAGAGGCTGCCGGCACCGGCAACAAGTTGAAAACAATTTTACACTTTTTTACAGTATTTGGGTTTATTCATAGGCGATAATTAAAATATTGAATCCATGAATCATGGCAGGCAGGCAATTGAACAGAGGGGCGATTGAGAAGTATTGGAAGACGTAAAGTGCTCCACGCTTCTCACTCTGTGGCCATCAATCACACTTGTCAATCATCCAAGCACATTGCCTTGGATCGAATAATTCAGATAGCGGATGAGGCAGAAGATCCCCCGCAAAACACAACACAACACACACAATATATATATACACACTTATATATCTAAGTGCGTGTGGCACACACTGCGTATACGTAATGGCCATTAAAGCATTTAAACTGTGAGTGAAATGCCGAAATCGCTGTGTAATATATAGCAAATTGTATATAAATAAGATCATCTGCCAGGCAAAAACTTAGCAGAAGATCGATGAGGGGGATTATAATGAAAAGAAAGAGTGTTTAGTGCGTGGAAAAAACTTGAATATTGTTTTGTAATTTAACGAATTTTCTAAAGAGAAAGATGTAGCAAGAAATAAGAAAAGTAAGGCAAAATGACCTTGTTAATAATTTAAAATAAATAGTAAGAAACAATCTTGTGTTTTTAGACTTGTTTATAAATTGTAAAATTATTTTGTACCAATTTGAGCTATAATCATATCCCAGAAGGCAAGTAAAATCAGTTAGGCTTGTCCCTAACTATTATAAATTACTAAAAAGATCTTGAAGAGTAGTAACAGCTAACAGCCTATAAATCTATCCAAGTTGTCTGCTAGTTGAGCTACTATATTAAGCAAAGCACCTGAAAGGCAAATATAAATAAATGAAATATCATCCAAACACAAACCACTCGAGAGACCTCAGAGCAGGGCCAAGCCCACATGTAACATTAATTTCCAAGCTGTTAGTCGGTCCATCCTCCTCATCATTATGCTGATGATGAGCATCACGCTCTACCCTATAGTGATGATTATTATAAAGATCTCTAAGCTAAAAATAAAAAACAAAACCCTCTCTGGATAAGCAGGCTGCTGATTTATATGGCTCTTTTTATTAAGCGGACATCGAATAAATCGCTTAGTAAATTGATATTTTCTTGTGTAAATAGCCAGAGCCAGAGATGATGATATCATCGGCTTAAAAAATATATATATTTTGAACTTAGATCTATACCTATATATACATATATATTTTCTGTATGGAAAGCAAGGCCCTTAGCTCTTAATTTCGCCCACAGTTGGCCAACACTTTTTCGAAACTAAATTCACATATTTTCCCAAAAAAAAAATAAACACGAAAAGCGTAACCAGACTATTGGAACGCCCACCACCTGGCCTACCTGCCACTTGGTAACTCTTGAAAATCGTTTTCTCTCTCGATTTTATATACCCTTTTAAAGAGTATTTTAATTTCAGTAAGAAGCCTGTAACGCTTGAAGCAGTCATTTCCGACCCTATAAATCATATATATTCTTGATCAGCATCAAACGGCCAATCTTTCTAGCAATTTCTCGCAGAAAATTTTTTTTAAAATTTTTTTTTAAATTTTAAAAGGGGTTACATCGTTAAATTTTTTAAAAATGACAAAATTTTTAATTTTTTTAAATTTCTAATTGATTATGCAGATTTATTAAGCTAATAAAAACTAGCACAGATCAGCTTCCCGAATTGAAATGAATGCTTTTTTTTGCTTAGTTATGCGTATTTTAAAATTCGAATTGTTGAAAAAATTGTCCTTGAAAAATATCGAATTCCGATTTGAGCCTATAATTCAATTGCAAACTGTAAGAGTATATAGACTTCGGCTTCCCGTAGTTAGTTTCCTTTCTTGTTGTTTTTATTTTTAGTATGGTAATTAACATAAAGTCTAATAAGGCAAAGCCAAAGCCATATTGGCGAGTGCGTGAATTTTATTTTTGGTTGCTTTTTGTTTAGCTTTAGCTTATGCTGTGTTATTTTCTGTTTAGCTTTTTTCATCAACTTCAGTTGGTTTTTTGTGTTTTTTGCGGGGTGCCAGTGTTGACACTCTCTCAGAAATTCCGCTCACACACTTGTGGCATGAATCTTGGCTACATGGAAAGCCAGAAAAGCGGCGAAACACTTTGGAGTGCCGAAAACAGAAAACAGACGGAACACGGAAAGCGGAAAACCCAAAGCCAAAACATAAATGGTTGGCTGGGCCAACGCGGCGTATGAGCAATCTCCAACCTGTTTGAAAAACGCCCACGCCACAAAGATCATTCAATTGGGAATTGGAACTGGGATTTGGATGTGGATTTGGTCTGCGTCAGCCTCTGCTTCTGCGGAATCGTGGCAGCCAGCTGGGCGACCAGTTGGAAAGTGATTCCGATTCCGATTTCGTTTTCATGTTCGATTTCGAGCAAATCCCACTCGCCAATGGTTAATATCTGTTTTCTTTTTCTTGTATCTTATTTCACTTACCATTTTTTTATGCCGCTTCTCTTTGGCTGTGGCTGCTTTTCAATTTCAACTCGTTCACTTAGAGGGAACTTTAACAGAAACAAAAAAAGGAAGTCTTAACAAAAATTTATGGTTAGCATTAGTTCAAAACGATTGACTAATAATTTTGTTGTTGACAGAAAACAACATGAACCTTAGTTATCAAGAAAATTATACACAATAACTACTTGGATCGGCAAACTATAGCAATCTGTTCAAGAGTGCATTTTTTGCTTATTTAAATATATATTATATTTGGGAATAGTTAGCCTAAGTTCTTGCCACAGCTGTTTCAAAGGAAACCACCTTTATTTTTGAGTCAGTATTCCAAACTTTTTCCTTAAAAAAACCTATAAAAAAAAACAAGAAAACATCTGTTTAAAAAATCCTCCATTACCAAGAAATGGTATTTAAGAACTATTAATTTAGGCTGTTAATACTTTAATAATATATTTATAAAATCCCTTTAATAACTTTTAAATCCCACCTCTTGAAAAATTAATAAAACCAACCAAAGTAACCCTTATTTTGGGCTAAAAAACTGTCAATAAAATCAAACAGTTGGCATTATACAAATTTAAGTAGTTTCAGCAAATTGCAATAAGTTTAGTTTTTTCTTTATTTATTTTGCTCGCTTCCCCGACATATTGCGTATACTTTTCTCGATTTTGTTTATTTCTTTTCGGCGTTTTTTTGTATATCTTTTTGTTTGTTGGGACTGTGTGTGCACCGTGCAAATTTTCAGTAAAAGAAACAACAACAAAAACGGTATAGAAAGGGCGTTAGTGGCAATAAAAACAAAAACAAACAACAAAAAAACAACTCGCGAAGGTAAGCACCGCGACTCGTATATAGCCGCTATATATATATATATATATATACCGTTGTATCGGATCGGAATCGGAATCGAACCGAACCGGCGAGCGTCGACCAAGAAACTGAAAACTGAACCGCCGGCAGTCGGCGCACAAGGCAGCGCAGCAGCAGAGCAGAGCGACGTCATGGAAGCGGCGAAGTCGACGTCGCGCCAGTTGTCGCGCAGGCGCCGGGAGCCAAGAGGCCAACGGCAGGAGGAGCTCTCCTTCCCAAGAATGCCGGATCGCAGGATCACCATTGCCGTGGTGCGTTCCCCCGCCGGCGGTCGGTTCAACAACAGCCGCACCACCGTCCGCAGCTGGACATCCGCCGTGAAACCACAGCCTGTGCAACCGCCACCACCACTGCGACAGATGCTGCCATCCAAAGTAAGGAATCACTAACCCCTGACACCCGAACCCCTGGCTAATCTGCCATCTCTGCAGGCGTTTGGGGGGCACTCCGGTTCCTACAAGAAGCCATCCCTGGCGAGCCAGAGGACTCAGCCAGAGGAACCGGTCAGTGATGCTCCAGTACCTAAGAACCACAGCAAACGCCAACACCATCAACAGCATACACAGCCCAACTCTAGCACCTGGTGGAGAGCCATACCCGTCAAGGCCAAGGTGGACTCGCATTGGTTGAAGCCCCATCACCATCATCGTTCCTCACGCGACACCCAGCCGGTAGCAGGACCAGGACCTAAACCAGGAGTGCGCAAGAATAAGAGCAACAAATCCCTAGAGGCAGCTCATGAGCAGCTGGAGCTCATGCTGTCCAGGATAGAGCGGGCCAGAGACTTTCTGCCACCGCCGCCAGCGGGTGCCGCTAACACCACCACCACCACCACCACCAAAACCACCAGCAAAAAGAGAGGTGTCCCATGCCCAATGTTTCCAATAAGGAGCGCAGCCAAATTTGGCGAAAAGATGGCAAAGGGTGCGAGCCGCCATATGGCACAGCCACCGCCAGCGCCACCGGGTTCACCCATTAACAGCGCCCGACGGGAAGGCAGTGACTCCGCCGAAATGGAGCTCCACCTGGCTGCTGTTCCACTCGCTCACAATCCACAGAGCCTGGTGCCAGCCAAGCGGGAAGCTCTACTGGAGTTGCTCCAGCAAAGGGAGCAGCATGATAGGGGCATCGTGGATATGGTGCGCAATTCTAATGATGGGGATCAGTCCGCCAGGGATACCAGTCAGATGATGTTCCAAGTGCTGTGAGTATTCATAATTCTATAGTTTATTTAGCGGATATCGGGATATACTTCCGTAATTATTGAGATTTAGATGGGGATCTTTGGGTTTGCTTATAGATACATATGTACATATGTATATACCGATATGTATAGCAATGAAACTATATGTTTTAGTGTCAGTATCAAGGGGATTTCATGGTTTCATGCCACCAAATTGTGGAATATATTACAAATAATTTTTATAGTAAAACAGATGATGCTCTAGATGATTTGGTTTATACACACAATGGGAAAGTAATTGCAGTTGCAATTAAATATAAATATAATAGCATGTTATTTCAGATTACATTTAAATAGTTATCCTTTATAGTTAAAATGTATCTGATTAAATAACTTAAAGGGTCTTTAAACAATATAACAGTTTCCCATATGAAACAAAAATCATCTTTTATCCATAAAATTATGAAATAATTATGGGAATCTATAAACTATAAATATGTATCTGTAATCTGTACTTTTGGGCTTTTCGTCCTTTCCCTATTTACTATGTTGTTGTTACTATATTACTCCTATTTTCTTGACCTATGCTGTGTGTGAAATAAAGCAGCGACATTCGGGTGCTGCGACTGCGTCGCCGGCAGAGATGGCGGCAGCCCCAAAATGATGTCATCGCCAGCCGTCAGCTGAGCGAGTGGGGGCGAGTTGGTGGAGAGTGGGAGGTGGCAGGGGAGTGGGGAGTGGGGAGGCGGAGAGTGCCAGCTCCCAGTTTGGGGAGAGTGAAGGAGAATGGAGAATGGAAGAAATCGAGAGAGCGAGAGGGCGAGTGCGAGTCAGCTGGAAATGCTCCTCCGCTCCGCTGACGCCATTGCCTCTGCCGGCTGTGCTCTGACTCTGCCACTAACGCTGCCACTGTCGCCGTCGCTGCCGGCATGGAGTTACTCATACTCATTCACCTCAGCCGGCGCCTAGAACAAAAACAGGAGCAGGCTAAAACAGTTAACATAACAACATCAGGAGTAAAAACAACCGATTGTTTTGGTTACCATGTGTACATATGTTTTTGTTCATGTACATATGTTTACCCTTTATTCGTAGAATTGTTATTGAAAAGTATTAAATTAAGACTGGTGTTAACCTAGACAGATAAACAGTTGGAAATTCTTAGATGTTATCAAGCTTTGACACTGATTTTTACCTATATTTTTATATGTCAATTTTTAGACCAATCAAAGTTTAAAAAACTCATAACTTAGCCAAAAAATCTTTAAATTTATTTCGGAAAGCCGCTTTGTGTTCGATTTTATTAGGGTAATAAATCTGCATACTGAATTTAAAAATTAAAATTTTGTCAATTTTTGACAATTTTAACGATGTAACCCCTTATAAAATTTTAAAATTTTGACAAAAAGTTTGAAAATTTAATTTTGTACCAGACATGGCTAGATCGTTTCTCCAGTTGATGCTAATCAAGAATATATATGATTTTTAGGGCCGGAAATGACTGCTTCAAGAGTTACAAGCTTCTGACTAAAACTAAAATACCCTTTGCAAGGATATATAAATAACATTTATTTCGAAAAGCTTTTTGTGTATGTTTTTATTATGTGAATAGGTCTGCATAACATTTTAAAAGAGACAAGAACTAAAATATGTGCATTTATCTATAAAATATTTAAGTTTCTATAATATGTATCTACATTAAATATTATAGAACTTAAAAAAATACTTTTTGTAACTAGAAACTTGGCTGCATTTCTCGTTTTATTTTTTCCCACTTATCAATTTTATTGGTCTGAGCAATAAACCTAAAATTGGCAACAGTTAATGAAAGCATTTTTATGACCGTAATGAATCTCCTATAATATCATCAAATAATTCAAATGAACTCGTAACTGGATGAAAGAGAGATCCTTATCGTCATTATTTCGGTAAGAAAACGAGTAATAATTCGCTTATACTATATTATATATATTGTATCTCCCAGATACTGATGACTTCTTTACGGTTTTATATAATTTTCGATTGTATCGAAGGCGGCTTAGTTATACATATATCTTTTATATCTACAACTGTAAAGATAGGCGACACCTGTGACTAATGGTTCAGGTTCAAGGTCGCTGATATTTGTTATTCCGGATTACCGGCTTTCTATATATTATGCAGTTCTGGTTTTCTTTAGATCATTATTGGATAATGTCGCTAATGTCTCATGTTATTTGGTGTGCAAAAATCTCACCTGTGTTATTGCACATTTTTGGTCTCTGCTGATATGAATCGTAATCAAATACTACGATCGACGGGCGCTAATCGGAGACTGTTTGCAGTTTGAATTTGCGATGTTACCAACATTTATACCTATATATACATATGTATATTTAGGAATATATACACACTAGATATGTGGTAATTGATTAGCCAACTCCCCGGCAATCGGCCGATTTTGCCCAGAAGGCTATAAATAGCGGTGGCTAAGTAGGGGTGAGAGCTATTCGCCTTTGAAAAGGCAACCCAACCCAACCCTTTGGGATTGTAATGGAACCCATAGATTTCTGTTCATGTCTTTATTTCGTCATCTGCGTTTTTCTGGTCTTTTCCTTTTTTAAGCAAATTTTTTTCATTAGTTTTTTTGCTGTATTTTTTTCTATTCTCTGCTGATGCGCTTTATTTGTTTGATCAATAAATTTGGCTCTGCCATTTAGCAAACTTCTCGCCTATGTCATGGAAAAGGGGGTTTCTGGGGGCTTGAAACTCCTGGAATATGTTTTGGCCAAAAACAAAGTAGTACTTCTAGTTAAACTGCAAAATGAAATGATAAAGATTAAAGGAAACCCATTTTAATGTATATATTAGAGAGCCGCCCCTGACCAAATGGGGTTGCGTCACCGCGCTCCGGCGGTGTTTATTAATTAATTCTTCCACAGTTTTTGGCTTCTCCATTTCCCAGTTTGATTGTGTCATATTATTTACGTGTGCTATCACTGCGATTGGAAAGCAAGGCAAGGGGGGTTTTCGGAGGAAAAATGGTTGGGGATTGGGGTGGCACGGCGACTGTTAGGTTGCCACAACCACAACCTTAACCCCAGTGACCCAGGCTATGAATAAAAGGAATAAATGAATGAATGAATGAATGAGTGAGTAAATCGCGTAATCATACCCTAATAATCATATCGGTGGCATTAGCTGGGCAAAAATGTAGGAGAATTGTGACATTTAGGCTTTGGAATACTTATTAATATTTTATTATTAATGTATGAAAATAATAATAATAATATTAATAGCTGATCCGAATATATAAAAAAAAATTTTAAAAATTGCAATTTTTTGCCAATTTTTACAAATTTTAACGATGTAACCCCTTATAGTTTTTTGCAAATTTAAAAAAAATTTGGAAAATTTTGTATTTTTACCGGACATGGATAGAATGATTCTCCTGTTCATGCTTATCAAGAATGATTATGATTCCTTCATTGATTAAAATTATATTTTCCTCTGAAAGATTCTTGAAAATGTCATTTTTATTTGATAAGTTTTTTCTTTGGAACAATTAAAATTTAAAAAATTCATAACTAAGCCAAAGTGTTTTAATGGCTAGATGGATTCTTCTGCTGATGCTGATCAAGGTTATATATGATTTATAGGGTCGGAAATGACACCTTCACTGATTACAATTATATTTTCCCCTGCAAGATTCTTGAAATTGAAATTTCTTCATATATATTTTTTTTCTGACATATCAAACTTTAAAATAATTCATTACTTAGCCGAAAATGCTTCAATTTTAATTCGGAAAACGTTCCTATGCTAATTTGTTTACGGTTAATACGGTTATTTTTATGGGGAATAGGGATATACATATATGAAATCATTGCATTTTTGGCTTTGTTATGACCTTAAAAGGATAATATATATTTTCTGATGCCAAATTTTGGGCAGAGTATCCCAATGGCAAATTATTTTACCTTGTTCCTTATGGCTGCCATTGGCCTCGAAGGAGACTCCTTGGAGACTCCCTCTTATTCACACTATCAATTCTGGAAGTGAAATCAAGTTGGGTTTCGTGTGCATTTCCCCGGAGGGGCAGGAAAGCAACTTGCGTGACGGCGGCCCATATGAAATCTAATCCCAACTGACCCAGTCTCTCCTCCTTTCCCCCAGAGAGATAGAGAGAGACTGATGCAATAACTCAACTTTATCTATACATGCAGAAAAAAAAATTATATCATTGCTATTTTTAAGTGGCGTGAATAACATGTCAATCAATACGAAATTAAGTTAATATAAATTGAGTTAAATGAAAGCAGGAACTAGGAATCATCAGTTAGGATAAGATCTTCATGAAATTGTTTATTAAGGGTTATTTACAACGGTTTTCTAAGGGATTCCATATTTTTCTTTTAGACCCCTCAGCCTAAACGAATCCCCGTACAACGGCAGGGACGGAAAGGCATCCGTAACCGGTTCCGGATCCGTAAAGGAGTCTCAGGAGTTGTATCAAACGAGCCCACAAACAGAAGGTTACATCCTTCCCATGGTCGGGCAGCAAAGAGACGGAAAAGAAGCAGTGGTGATCCACATGGAGGAAAAGATCCGTGAACTAAACGATCGCCAGCAGCAGGCCATGAGGGAACGGGCCGAGCTGGAGCAGCACAAGCAGCTGGTGACTCTCTGCCGGGAGAAGCAACGTCAGCGGGAAAACAGGAAACAGCTCGCTGAGATAAAAAAACAGCAGCAACGCGACGGTGAAGTCTCAAAGCCTCAAACCACCATCCAGCTGAAGGATCCGCTTGCTTCTGCTTCGATTCACATTCCCGTTCCCTTCGATCCCTGGATGAAGCTTCTCCAGGAGCGGGATCGCTTTCTAGGTCAATGCCAACGCAGCTATTTCTACAACAATTCACGGAGCCCGGCACTCTGGAAAATATATGCCAGGTAAGGCCCTATAATATTTCTATCAAACCCCAATGTTAAACGACCAAGAAAGGACCTTCCCTATCCTATAAGTCTTTCCTGGCCTTGAACTAATGAGTTCCTATGTGATGTATCTACAAAATTATTGCAGTCTCTATTATACAGTAACATTTTACATTTTAACTGTTTAAATTACAGGAGCTCCAAAGTTAACTTAACTAAACTAGGACAATAATTCAATTCATTAAAAATAATTAATAAATAAGAAATTCGGTAAACTTATGTTTTGAATTTACCCAATTTTAAAAGGATTATTTTGCTTACATCATTAAAATTATTAATTAACAAAAACGTTTAATTTCTTATAACTTTAAGTTTAGTTTGGATGCAAAAAAACCACACAGAAAATATATCCAAATTTAAATTAAATAATTTCTTATTTTGGGATGGTATTATTAAAATTTAATTCTTGAAATCTGGCTAATACCTCTCTAAGTCTCAGCAAAATACCGAAAGGTAGCGATCTGACACCTCTTGCACTAAAATTTATCTGCCTTCAGCTGTTTTTCTTCGCCTGGTACTTCGAATCCAGAAATCCAGAGATATGTGATTTTGTAGTGAAAATGTGGAAATTAAAGTCTTGTTTTTGCCTACAACAACACAAAATCTTTTTACAACAACTCATAATTACAACAACAATTTACAATTTTACAACAAAAAAGACAATAAATATATTAATTCAACTGTTAAAATTGAATTTAAATTTAAATAGGCTGTCAGTACCCGTCATATCGGTTAACCGAAAAATTTGAAATAGAATTTAAATAGTCGATCAGTTGCCGCCACATGAGTTAGGAGCCAAATTTGAATTCGCCTGATAGTCACAGCGGCAAATGGCTGCCTGCCAGAAGCTGCATGCCAGAAGCCGATAGTCAAAGCTGCACCTGGTTGCAAGCTATCAGCGGAAAGTCAAAGCGGTCACACTCGATATAAAGTAGTGAAAATGAGTTGGTCACACTGCAAAAAGCTTGTGATAATGGAAGTGTGCATTTCCGCTTGTGTTTGTATATGTTTACACCTGGCATTAATCACGTGCATTGCACCCGAATCAGAATAATCTTAGGCGCTATTAATTACAAAAAACGCGTTTAATTATTCACATAAATAATGTAAGTATTGAACAGGGAGCCGGCGACGGCGGCTAACTGAAAATCGGTGGAAATGCAAATAATTCATTATTTATTATTTGCCAAACATTCCACCAGACTCGTATTTCGATGATGAGATCACCATGGTTTCAGATGGCTGCATGTCATCAGCCGATCATCAGGGAACACATCTGCACGTAATCTCCTGAACGTCACAGTGGCACATAGCTGTGGGTCATAAGTTGAACGTCGCTGCTGCACCTGGCTCCATGTCAGCTAATCGTCGCTGCTGCACATGGCTGCAGGCAACCAGCGGAAAGTCAATGCGGTCACACTTCGATAAAAGTAGTGAAAAATTAGTTGGTCAAATGGCAAAAAGCTTGTAACAATGGATGTGTGCATTTCCGCTTGTGTTTGTATATGTTTAAACCTGGCATTAATCACGCACATTGCACCCGAATCGGAATAGTGTTAGGTGCTATTAATTTAACAACAACGCCCTTAATTATTCACATAAATAATGTAAGTACTGAACAGGGAGCCGGCGACGGCGGCCAACTGAAAATCGAAGGGAATGCAAATAATTCATTATTTATTATTTACCAAACATTTCACCAGACTCGTATTTCCATGATGTTCGATGATGAGAAAACCATTATTTTAGATAGCTGCATGTCATCAGCCGATCGTCACAGCGACACATATCTGCACGTCATCACCTGAACATCACAGTGGCACATAGCTGCACGTCATAAGTTGAACGTCGCTGCTGCACCTGGCTCCATGTCAGCTAATCGTCGCTGCTGCACATCGCTGCAGCAACCAGCGGAAAGTTAAAGCGGCCACACTTCGATCTAAAAGTAGCAAAAAAATGAGTTGGTCACATGGCAAAAAGTTTGTAACAATGGAAGTGTGCATTTCTGCTTGTGTTTGTATATGTTTACACCTGGCATTAATTACGCAAATTGCACCCGAATCGGAATAATGTTGTGCTATTTTATAAACAACGCCCTTAATTTTTCACATAAATAATGTAAGCACTGAACAGGGAGTCGGCGACAGTGGCCAACTGAAAATCGAAGGGAATGCAAATAATTCATTATTTATTATTTGCCAAACATTCCACCAGACTCGTATTTCGATGATGAGATCATCATGGTTTCAGATAGCTGCATATCATCAGTCGATCATCACAGCGGCACCTGGCTGCACGGCATCACCTAAACGTCACAGTGGCACATAGCTGTGGGTTATAAGTTGAACGCCGCTGCTGCACCTGGCTCCATGTCAGCTAATCGTCGCTGCTGCACATCGATGCAGGCAACCAGCGGAAAGTCAAAGCGGCCACACTTCGATCTAAAAGTAGCAAAAAATGAGTTGATCACGCTACAAAAAGTTCCTGCAATAGAGTTGACAAAGTAGCTATTTTCTAGCTGAAAGCTTTAAGCTCTGAGCTTTAAGCTCTGCTATAATATAGCTAAACTGACATCTCTAATTTGCACCTCTTGCACTAAAATTAATCAGCTTTCTGCTGATTCTGTTCGCCTGGTATTTCAGGTCGAGAATTAGATGGACTCGGACCGATTTTTGACGAAATCGAAGACTTGGTTTTTGCCTACAACAACAACAGTACTGAAACAGACCAACTTGAATGCTGGGTTTTGCCTACAAAAACAACAACAAACAACGCTTTTACAATTTTAAATTACAAGAACAACAAAAATGAAGTATATTAAATATGTTTATTTCACGTTTTTAGTAGTTTACATTAATTCGATAATAAGCAGCTTCTGCTACCCCTTGCCGTTCGCCCTCTTTGATGACCACCCCAGCAACCGTCCCGTTCTCGGCATTCTCCTTGATCAGGCTTTCCGACTGGGCAATGAGGCCTCGCGATGAGGTCGCCTCCATGTGCGTCGGGATCACAGAGCAGGGCCAGCGACATTGCCGGACGCATCCCATTAATGCTGCCACCGCTGGCTCCATTGGCTATGTAGGCGGCTGCATTCAGGCTGCGATTGCCAGTGGGCTTGTGTATGATCTCCGCTTCGTTGCATTCCGCAGTTTTTCGGGTCCAGTGCTCCACCTCAACGTCGTCCTCATCGGCCTCGTCGTCTGTGATAAGCTGCCTGAACACGAAAAAACGTATGATAAGAGGATTCTTGAAAGCCTTGACGTGTACTCACAGCTTGTCCAGCGAGGCCTTTAGTGTGTTCTGCCTGTTAATCTTCGGCAGGCGCTTCAGCTCCGCCTCGCTCGACTTGAGGTCCTGCATCTCCTGCAGGATCTTCTGCTCGACGCAACGGCCTGCCCTCTGAGTCCCGCTCGGTGGTTGCCGGTGACAGGGTGACAGGGTGACCGTGGTAATGCCCGTTGGCGACTGCCGTTCTCTAGAAAGGCCAACGCCGTGCGTGTGTTCAGCTTGAGGGTGTTGCGGTTGGTGTTGTTGTTGCTGCTGACTTCCATTCTGATTGCTACCTGAGCTGCTGTTGCCCAATGGCGAGGCGCCCTTGGTAGAGGCACCACCGAAGGCAAACTGACGCTGTTGGGGCAGGTCGGTGCTCCTGGACTGGAGGTTGTTGTTGCTGTGCGAGGAGGCTGAGATGACCGAGTCATCAGAATACGGGTCATCGAGGCTATTCCCCTTGGCGCTGTTCACGCTAGAGGCCAGCGAGTGTGTTGGATAGCTCATCAATGATCTTCTTGATCAAGCTTTCCCACTGGGCAATGAAGTCTCGCGATGAGGGCGCCTCCTTGGGTGTCATATCACAGAGCTGGGCCAGCGACATGGCCGGACGCATCCCATTAATGCTGCCATTGCTGGCTCCATTGGCTATGTAGGCGGCTGCATTCAGGCTGCGATTGCCAGCGGTCTTGTGTACGATCTCTGGTTCGTTGCTGTTGATATAAGAATGAAAATTCAATGAGAATCGAACTCCTTTAAGTAGGTTATCTAGCACTTGCCCATTTATATCCAACTCCTGGGTGGACTGGGCATTGCGCAGTTTTCCGTGTCCATAGCAGTGCTCCACCTCAACGTCGTCCGCATTGGCCTCGTCGACTGTGCTGAGCTGGCTGGAAACGAAAAAACGTATGATAAGAGGATTCTTGAAAGTCTTCGCGTGTACTCACAGCTTGTCCAGCGAGGCCTTTAGTGTGTTCTGCCTGTTAATCTTGCGCAGGCGCTTCAGCTCCGCCCCGCGCGATTTGAGGTCCTGCACCTCTTGCTGGATCTTCTGCTCGACGGGCACGTAGCCTCGACGCAACGGCCTGCCCTCTGAGTCCCGCTCGGTGGTTGCCGGTGACAAGTTGACCGTGGAAATGCCCGTTGGCGAGCTGCCGTTCTCTAGAAAGGCCAACGCCGTGCGTGTGTTCAGCTTGAGGGTGTTGCGGTTGGTGTTGTTGTTGCTGCTGACTTCCATTCTGATTGCTACCTGAGCCGCTGATGTTGCCCAATGGCGAGACCGAAAGCAAACTGACGCTTCTGAGGCAGGTCGGTGCTCCTGGCGGGTGACCACGGTCAGCTTAAGGGGCGGCTGCTGCTGTTGGTGCATGGACTAGAGGTTGCTGTTGCTGTGCGAGAAGGCCGAGATGCCCGAGTCATCAGAATGCGGCAGTAGCGAAGTGGTCTGCACTGCCGCCGGCCGGGATGTGACCAGCACCCCCTGGTCTTGATCCAGCTCATCCTGATCCTGCGGCTGCTCCCGAGTGCATTCACCATAACCTAAAACGTATGATGTCAAAGCTGCACATGGTTCCATGCCATCAATCGATAATCAAAGCTGCGTATGGCTGCATGCAAGCAATCGATAGTCAATGCTGCAATGCTGCACATCGTCACTGATCGTCGCTGTTGCACATGGCTGCAGGCAACCAGCTGAAAGTCAAAGCGGTCACACTTCCTTGTATAAGTAGGGAAACATGAGTTGACCTCACTGCAAAAAGCCGTTGATAATGGATATGGTCTCACCTTTTTTAAAAGTAGTAATGGCCGCCTTAACCGTTCCATTCGCGGCATTCTTCTTGATCAGGCTTTCCCACTGGGCAATGAGGTCCCGCAATGAGGGCGCCTCCTTGGGCGTCGGGATCACAGAGCAGGACCAGCGACATTGCCGGACGCATCCCATTAATGCTGCCACCGCTGGCTCCATTGGCTATGTAGGCGGCTGCATTCAGGCTGCGATTGCCAGCGGTCTTGTGTACGATCTCTGGTTCGTTGCTGTTGATATAGGAATGAAAATTCAATGAGAATCGAACTCCTTTAAGTAGGTTATCTAGCACTTGCCCATTTATAGCCAACTCCTGGGTGGACTGGGCATTGCGCAGTTTTCCGGGTCCATAGGAGTGCTCCACCTCAACGTCGTCCGCATTGGCCTCGTCGACTGTGCTGAGCTGGCTGGAAACGAAAAAACGTATGATAAGAGGATTCTTGAAAGTCTTCGCGTGTACTCACAGCTTGTCCAGCGAGGCCTTTAGTGTGTTCTGCCTGTTAATCTTGCGCAGGCGCTTCAGCTCCGCCCCGCGCGATTTGAGGTCCTGCACCTCTTGCTGGATCTTCTGCTCGACGGGCACGTAGCCTCGACGCAACGGCCTGCCCTCTGAGTCCCGCTCGGTGGTTGCCGGTGACAAGTTGACCGTGGAAATGCCCGTTGGCGAGCTGCCGTTCTCTAGAAAGGCCAACGCCGTGCGTGTGTTCAGCTTGAGGGTGTTGCGGTTGGTGTTGTTGTTGCTGCTGACTTCCATTCTGATTGCTACCTGAGCTGCTGATGTTGCCCAATGGCGAGACCGAAAGCAAACTGACGCTTCTGAGGCAGGTCGGTGCTCCTGGCGGGTGACCACGGTCAGCTTAAGGGGCGGCTGCTGCTGTTGGTGCATGGACTGGAGGTTGCTGTTGCTGTGCGAGGAGGCCGAGATGCCCGGGTCATCAAAATGCGGCAGTAGCGTAGTGGTCTGCACTGCCGCCGGCCGGGATGTGACCAGCACCCCCTGGTCTTGATCCAGCTCATCCTGATCCTGCGGCTGCCCCCGAGTGCATTCACCATAACCTAAAACGTATGATGTCAAAGCTGCACATGGTTCCATGCCATCAATCGATAATCAAAGCTGCGTATGGCTGCATGCAAGCAATCGATAGTCAATGCTGCAATGCTGCACATCGTCACTGATCGTCGCTGTTGCACATGGCTGCAGGCAACCAGCTGAAAGTCAAAGCGGTCACACTTCCTTGTATAAGTAGGGAAACATGAGTTGACCTCACTGCAAAAAGCCGTTGATAATGGATATGGTCTCACCTTTTTTAAAAGTAGTAATGGCCGCCTTAACCGTTCCATTCGCGGCATTCTTCTTGATCAGGCTTTCCCACTGGGCAATGAGGTCCCGCAATGAGGGCGCCTCCTTGGGGGTCGGGATCACAGAGCAGGGCCAGCGACATTGCCGGACGCATCCCATTAATGCTGCCACCGCTGGCTCCATTGGCTATGTAGGCGGCTGCATTCAGGCTGCGATTGCCAGCGGTCTTGTGTACGATCTCTGGTTCGTTGCTGTTGATATAAGAATGAAAATTCAATGAGAATCGAACTCCTTTAAGTAGGTTATCTAGCACTTGCCCATTTATATCCAACTCCTGGGTGGACTGGGCATTGCGCAGTTTTCCGGGTCCATAGGAGTGCTCCACCTCAGAGTCCTCATCGTCAACCTCGTCCGCATCGGCCTCGTCTGTGCTGAGCTGGCTGGAAACAAAAAAAAAAAAAAACGTAAGATCGGAGGATTCTTGAAAGCCTTGACGTGTACTCACAACTTGTTCAGCGAAGCCTTCAGTGTATTCTGCCTGTTACTCTTGTGCAGGCGCTTCAGCTCCGCCTCGCGCGACTTGAGGCTCTGCAGCTCCTGCTGGATCTTCTGCTCGACGCAATGGCCTGCCCTCTGCTGGTGATAGGGTGACTGTGGTACTGCCCGATGGCGAGTTGCCGTTCTCCAGGAAGGCCAACGCCGTGCGTGTGATCAGCTTGAGGGTGTTGCTGTTGACTTCCATTTTAATTGCTCCCTGAGCTGCTGATGTTGCCCAAGGGCAACACCGAAGGCAAACTGACGCTTCTGGTGCAGGTCGCTGCTCCTGGCGGGTGACCACGGTCAGCATAAGCGGCGGCTGCTGCACTGCCGCCGGCCGGGCTGTGACCAGCACCCTCTAGTCTTGATCCAGCTCATCCTGATCCTGTGGCTGCTCCTGAGTGCATTCACCATAACCCAAAACGTAGGATGTCAAAGCTGCACATGGTTCCATGCCATCAATCGATAATCAAAGCTGCGTAAGGCTGCATGCAAGCAATCGATAGTCAATGCTGCAATGCTGCACATCGTCACTGATCGTCGCTGTTGCACATGGCTGCAGGCAACCAGCTGAAAGTCAAAGCGGTCACACTTCCTTGTATAAGTAGGGAAACATGAGTTGACCACACTGCAAAAAGCCGTTGATAATGGATATGGTCTCACCTTTTTTAAAAGTAGTAATGGCCGCCTTAACCGTTCCATTCGCGGCATTCTTCTTGATCAGGCTTTCCCACTGGGCAATGAGGTCCCGCAATGAGGGCGCCTCCTTGGGGGTCGGGATCACAGAGCAGGGCCAGCGACATTGCCGGACGCATCCCATTAATGCTGCCACCGCTGGCTCCATTGGCTATGTAGGCGGCTGCATTCAGGCTGCGATTGCCAGCGGGCTTGTGTATGATCTCCGGTTCGTTGCATTGCGCAGTTTTTCGGGTCCGTATCAGTGCTCCACCTCAACGTCGTCCTCATCGGCCTCGTCGTCTGTGATAAGCTGCCTGGACACGAAAAAACGTATGATAAGAGGATTCTTGAAAGCCTTGACGTGTACTCACAGCTTGTCCAGCGAGGCCTTTAGTGTGTTCTGCCTGTTAATCTTCGGCAGGCGCTTCAGCTCCGCCTCGCTCGACTTGAGGTCCTGCATCTCCTGCAGGATCTTCTGCTCGACGCAACGGCCTGCCCTCTGAGTCCCGCTCGGTGGTTGCCGGTGACAGGGTGACAGGGTGACCGTGGTAATGCCCGTTGGCGACTGCCGTTCTCTAGAAAGGCCAACGCCGTGCGTGTGTTCAGCTTGAGGGTGTTGCGGTTGGTGTTGTTGTTGCTGCTGACTTCCATTCTGATTGCTACCTGAGCTGCTGTTGCCCAATGGCGAGGCGCCCTTGGTAGAGGCACCACCGAAGGCAAACTGACGCTGTTGGGGCAGGTCGGTGCTCCTGGACTGGAGGTTGTTGTTGCTGTGCGAGGAGGCTGAGATGACCGAGTCATCAGAATACGGGTCATCGAGGCTATTCCCCTTGGCGCTGTTCACGCTAGAGGCCAGCGAGTGTGTTGGATAGCTCATCAATGATCTTCTTGATCAAGCTTTCCCACTGGGCAATGAAGTCTCGCGATGAGGGCGCCTCCTTGGGTGTCATATCACAGAGCTGGGCCAGCGACATGGCCGGACGCATCCCATTAATGCTGCCATTGCTGGCTCCATTGGCTATGTAGGCGGCTGCATTCAGGCTGCGATTGCCAGCGGTCTTGTGTACGATCTCTGGTTCGTTGCTGTTGATATAAGAATGAAAATTCAATGAGAATCGAACTCCTTTAAGTAGGTTATCTAGCACTTGCCCATTTATATCCAACTCCTGGGTGGACTGGGCATTGCGCAGTTTTCCGGGTCCATAGGAGTGCTCCACCTCAGAGTCCTCATCGTCAACCTCGTCCGCATCGGCCTCGTCTGTGCTGAGCTGGCTGGAAACAAAAAAAAAAAAAAAACGTAAGATCAGAGGATTCTTGAAAGCCTTGACGTGTACTCACAACTTGTTCAGCGAAGCCTTCAGTGTATTCTGCCTGTTACTCTTGTGCAGGCGCTTCAGCTCCGCCTCGCGCGACTTGAGGCTCTGCAGCTCCTGCTGGATCTTCTGCTCGACGCAATGGCCTGCCCTCTGCTGGTGATAGGGTGACTGTGGTACTGCCCGATGGCGAGTTGCCGTTCTCCAGGAAGGCCAACGCCGTGCGTGTGATCAGCTTGAGGGTGTTGCTGTTGACTTCCATTTTAATTGCTCCCTGAGCTGCTGATGTTGCCCAAGGGCAACACCGAAGGCAAACTGACGCTTCTGGTGCAGGTCGCTGCTCCTGGCGGGTGACCACGGTCAGCATAAGCGGCGGCTGCTGCACTGCCGCCGGCCGGGCTGTGACCAGCACCCTCTAGTCTTGATCCAGCTCATCCTGATCCTGTGGCTGCTCCTGAGTGCATTCACCATAACCCAAAACGTAGGATGTCAAAGCTGCACATGGTTCCATGCCATCAATCGATAATCAAAGCTGCGTATGGCTGCATGCAAGCAATCGATAGTCAATGCTGCAATGCTGCACATCGTCACTGATCGTCGCTGTTGCACATGGCTGCAGGCAACCAGCTGAAAGTCAAAGCGGTCACACTTCCTTGTATAAGTAGGGAAACATGAGTTGACTACACTGCAAAAAGCCGTTGATAATGGATATGGTCTCACCTTTTTTAAAAGTAGTAATGGCCGCCTTAACCGTTCCATTCGCGGCATTCTTGATCAGGCTTTCCCACTGGGCAATGAGGTCCCGCAATGAGGGCGCCTCCTTGGGAGTCGGGATCACAGAGCAGGGCCAGCGACATT